ATTTAGGGCTGGTAAGTTTTGTGCACACACCAGTAACCCTGGCATTCTAGAAAACTGTGGCAGAAGGCTCACAAATTCAAGTTCAGCCTGGGCAAAGCAAAAAGGTTGGGCAATGCACTGGGAGACTGGCTGCTTTGCATATGAAGGATACACTCCAAAGACCATCACTGCACTGCTGTGACCTTGCCTGGGAGTGTCAATCTCAGCAAGGCCACAGGTGTTGAAACATCAGAAAACAAACAGCATGATTAATAGTTACTAGTCACAAATAGTCATGGCACACCAATGACATACTGGAGGATAGAAAGTGAAGAAGACAGAAGCCTTTTCTGGACTGGGTGGTCACCCAGTTAAGAATACAGACAAGTCCACAGTGTGAAACCGCGACGGAGAACAGAATGGTAGGAAGGTAATGCAAATTCGATGAGTGCCTGGCTGGTTTGGAGGGGGAAGGTCACTGAGAAAAAGTTCCAGCAGGAAATGGTGTCTCAATAAAACCTTAAGAATGATTAGAAACCAGCCAGATGAAATGGAGTAACATTTACGGTGGGGTGAGGGGGTAAGGATGTCCAGACAAAGATACTGTAAGAGATTAAAGAAAAGGCTGTGAGCCTTGGGTTATCTTGAAGGCAAATGGGGAGAATTTAAGGATGGGAGAGAATGAGATCTGAGTTTATTCAGAGAACAGTGTGAGTAAGGTGGAGACCTGACTAGAGGAAAACATAGGTGGGCACAATCATCTAGGTTGCTGTCTGTTTTGTGCTGCGAGGAGCAGAATACCAGATTCACAGTTTGGAAGGCTGACATTTGCAAGGACTATCCTGCATCATGACATGCACACAGAGGAGGACAGGAGACCATCCTGCTCTAATGGCTCTAATCCATTACGAAAACTCTGCTCTTATGGTTACTCTTGAAGGTCGTACCTCTTAGCACTGTTGCCTTGGGGATTAATTTTCACACGATCTTTGGGAGAGAAACCACAGCAGCTGGACATTACAGCAGCCTGTCCTAGAATGGTAGCAATGGATGTCTTAGTCACTTTTCTTGTTTCTCAGACAAAATACCTGACACTCTAAGTTAGAAGAGGAAAGGTTTACTTAGCTTGGTTTGTAGTCTTTAGTCCAAAATCAGTTGGCTCCAAGGCAGGGTGGCAGAGGAGCAAGTTCATGGTGGGCAAAAGGTAAGCAACGAGGAAACCACGGCTCTGCTGTCCTTTATATCTACCCAGGACACACATTCAGAGGGTGGGTAGCACTCGCCACCTTAGTCCTAGTGTCCCTGCTTCTAGCATTACACCATGCATCAACCCCAATTTCACATACTCTAGATTCAGGCTGTCTCTGAAAAAGCACTACCTCTGACTGCATGAGGCTTCTGGGGGACATCTAGACACAAGCCACAGCACTGGGCAAGGTGAAAAGGTTGCAATCAAAATCTCCTTGAGAGAATCAGAAGAATTTAACTTCGGGATGTACAGCACAAGGTAGAAAATTTAACAATGACATCTAATTGTTGTCTCATCCAGGTGGGTAAGGAGTAGCATCATTTCTTGAAATGAGGCACACAAGACAATTCTAGGGAAAGATGTGTTCATGCTAGACCTATTAGTTTGATATGCCCCTTTCAACACCTATGAACAGAAGCCAACTAGACATGTATCTGGAGGTTGGAAGAGATATGCAGGATGGAAAATATATATGTTCTTATGAATTAAGTGTATATGTTATGTGGTACTGGGTTTTACACCCACAGAACTCTACCACTGAGTTACATCCCCAGGCCTTTATTTGATAGGGCCTTACTAAAGTTGGTTTCAAACACTTGGTCTTTCTGCCTCTGCCTCCCAAGTAGCAAGGATTAGAGTCACATATCACAGTCAAAGGTTCCTCTGAAGCAATGTGAGCTCACAAAATGATCCAGTATGGGGTCAGGAGAGAAAAAGGTTCAGGGACATCCTGAGGAAGAACCCATAAAGACCACCAAGTAATGGCCAGAAACACAGAAACAAAAAGACTAACATTAGAGTTTCAGAAGGTTGCTAATTTTTAAGAACAAAATGGTCAGTTATTTTTTGAGACAGCATCTTGCTTCACAGTTTACACTAGCCTTGAACTCATTTTGTAGCCATTATGATTTGTGTCTAGATGGTCTCCTAAGGCCTCATGCATTCATGGGGCTGGGCTTCTACAGTTTATGATTGACTGACGTCCAGTGCTGGGATTATGGTTGTGAGTGCTACACCCATCCTGCGGCAGGGAGCCTGCATACAATATAGGGAGAGGAAGAGGCTTGCTCTCCTACTCCTCCCATTTTACCCATTGCTTCTACCAGCATGAACTGTTGCTTTTGTCATAAACCACCCTGCCTTGGAGCCAGTGGATAATGGACCGAAACCTTCACAAACTGTGAGCTAAATAAACCTTTTCTTTATTATTTTTTGGTCTTTTTGAGAGGGTTTCACTATGCTGCTCAGGTTGGCTTTGAGCTCATAGCCATCCTCCTGCCTTAGTCTCCTGAGTGCTGGGATTACAGGCATGTACCACATGCCCAACTCCTTCCTTAATTTTGGATGCTGAGTATTTTGTCTCAGCAATAAAAGTAACCAACACAGTAGCATAGGCTGGCCTAGAACTTGAAGCAATCCTGCCTCCCAAATGCAGGATTAGAGATGTGTGCCCCTTGTCCAGCAGTCAATTTTAAATGTTAAAAGCGTTCAGTGCTGTGAGTTTAGTGGTAGAACATGTATGTATGCCTTGCATGTATGAGACCTGGGATTTAACCTCAAGTAATAGGAGAAAAAAATGGATGAATGAATAAAAAATTTAAACAGCTTACTAAACCTACTTCTGCATTTGTTGGTGAAAACTATTCATCTATGATGGCAATTCTATTTAAAGATCTGAAATGAGGGGGCTGGGGATTTAGCTCAGTGGCATAAGCACCTGCCCGGCAAGCATGAGGTTCTGAGTTTGATCCCCAGTACTGAAATAAAGTAAAATAAAATGCTCATGAGTAACACTATTTTTCATGTAATTTTGCCAAGCTAAATCCATTAAAAATGGTGTATCTATATCCTTTAATAATTCAGTGTCAAATTCTTTTTTTTTTTTTTTTTTGTCTTTTTCCTTTTTATCGGTACCGGGGATTGAACTCATGACTGCCTGCTTGCAAGGCAGGTGCTTATGCCGCTGAGCTAAACCTCCAGCCCCTCAGTGTCAAATTCTTAAGAACTTCTTTACTAACAGACAAGCAAAAATAATTATGAGTAAATAAATACTGTTATTATGGCTTGTGTCTAACCCTCATGTACTCATATGTGGGAGTTTTGGGAGGTGGCTGGATCTCAGCTATGTGACACTGGAGTTAAAACTGTGTAAAGCTGGGATTGAGTTGTGTGAATATGAACTAAGGGTGTGTGATTACTAACGCGTCTGCTGATTGGTCCAGCACAGTTCTGGGTATGGATAATGGAAGGCCCATGCTGGGTACTGGTGGCACCACTTGACAAGCAGGAGCCTGGAAGGGATAAAAGGGACAGATTGCTGCTGCTTCCCTGTTTTGCTGCCTTCTGTTTGCCCTGCCACAACATCAACTGTCTTTCCGTCATGTCCCTGTGCCACGCCAGCCTTCTGTGCAGTCAGTCAACTTTGAACTGAAACCTCTACATACTGTGAGCTGAAATAAACTTTTCCCCCTTTAACTTTCAGTGTTGAGTATTTTTGTATCAGCAACAAGAAAAGTCACTAAGAACTGTTTTCAAGCCCTAGCAACACAGAACAAAAAAGCTGGTAGAGGCCAAAAAATGCAAAAGCTTCTATATACAAGTTTATATGATACATCAGCTGATACTTTCCAAATAGGAAATATTCCTATTGAAGAGAACACTATAGCAATATAAACACATAAAAAAGTATGTGGTCTGAAAACAGTAGTAGATTCTTTACTATCAATGTGAAGTAGTAGCTAATAATCATCAGTTTCTCAAATGAGAAGATAATCTCTTTTTTTTTTTTTTGGTACCGGGGATCGAACTCACGACTGCGTGCTTACAAGGCAGGCACTTATGCCACGAGCTAAATCCCCAGCCCCAAGAAGACAATCTCTGAACAGAAGAAATAATTATCTGTATCTAGAAGTCATAAGCAACTTGACCAGGAAATACCTAATGGAGAAGAACTATATATAATTCCAGTTTGGTCGGTTAATTTAAGTAAATTAAACAAAAGTGACTTTTCTTCATTAATGTACTCAAACTTTTTCTAAGATTTATGAAAATTTATTTAGGTAATTCAATGAAATTTGATATTTATGTTTTTTAAGTGTATAAAGGGCAAATACACTATGCAGTGGCCTCTTGATAGAGCCAAATCACTGTATAAGAAACATTTTGTTGAGTGCAATGGTATATACCTGTACTCCCAACATTCAAGAGGCTGAGGCAAGAGGATTACTGTTAGTTTGAGGCCAGCCTGGGCTACAAAATAAATTCAAGGCCAGCCTGAACTATATAGTGAGACCCTGTCTCAGACAGACAGACAGATACATACTCCTTGATGTCTGAGGGGATAAAAGCAATGATGATGTAAGAACATATACTGGGAGAGAAAAATTCAATAAATCAAAAAAGTTAAAAACAGTTGGGAAAAATCTAACCAGAAAGCCAAAATAATCTTTTTTTGGTTTTGATTAAATTTCTTTTTTTTCAGTCCATTTTATCTTGTTTGGTGTAGTTTTCTTTCTGGTGCTAGGGATTGATTTTGGCTGATTTTTTTTTTTTTTGCTGATTTTAAGTGCTAATTTATTCTTTTTCCAAATGGGCACTTATTATTTGCATAAAAATGATTCCCGTTTTTAGAAACATATGAAAAATATACATTAGCCACAAAAGTAATTATTCTGACTGCAAGGAAAGTGGGCACATCTGAAAACAGCAATAAACACAAGAAGTCAACATATGTAAATCATGACAAGTATACGTCTTACTTTTGACAAAATAATTTGTTTTTACATTAATGCTTTATTATCAGCTTCAATATTAGATCCTCCAACCTTATGTACATTTACTATGAAATTTCTATTAGCATGTATAACTCAAAGGCACTCCATTCAGAGGTTATAAAGTCCTGAGCTTAAGTAGGAAATGGGATTCCCAATTAAAATTTGAACATAAATAATTCTAAAGGTCAGCTAACATGAAAATATTTAAAAGTGTACTATTTAATACATAAATAATTCATAACCTAACAATAAAGGTATGTAGAATGTCAAAGACAAGACCATGTAAGGCAAAGGAATGTCCTCAAATCAAACAGGTTTTTCCCTTGTTCAAGTTCATTTGAAGGACTAAAGCAGATTTTTGCTGTTGTTTTTAAAAGTCTAACAAAGCTAAATTTGAAAATACACATGAAAATGCTCAAGTTAAAAAATAAAAATCCCTCAGTTTAGTCTCCCAAAACCATGACAAAACTGTTTAATGATTAAAACAAGCAGACTGGCAAAATACTGTACTAAATTAAAGAACAAAAATGAGCAGTAGATGACTAAAAGACAGCTTAAAGGCACCAACTGAAAGAACATTTATAATTGGCTCTTCAAATTATTTCTTTAGCTTTCTTTCAGCAAAATAAAAAGAAATTAAAGATAAATAAATGAAACTCACTAACATTAGGCAGGAATTTAAGCTATTTTGTTGCAAAGAATGTGAAATTTACCTACAGAAGTTTTCTAATGCTAAATTAAAATCATTAATGACAACTTGCATGGTTTGACAGATATTTTCTTGGCTTTAAAATGCTTTTGCATATATGCATAGAAATGTAATGAGGGTAAGAAACATCTTTTGTATTGTCTGTACAGTTCATAAGGCCTTTGTCATTGTTAGTCACCTTAGACATGAATATTGATAGGGCCGTTAAAGATGGGCCTAAAAAGTTTTCAAAGTGCTGCTATTTCCGATGGATGAGATCCTCAGTTTTCTGAGTTTTCTGGGTGATGATTATTTTCAGTTCTGTTTTCTGGCGATATGTATAAGAAGTTACAGCAGATATACAAAGGGAAGATTAGAAGCCTGCTGTCCAAATTCATCACCACTTGTTCCTGTAAGACAGAGTTTTTAGATTTACTGACAACTAGATAACAATATTTTAAAAAGCCGAAAGATTTATACGATCTGAGGAGAAACCAGCATATAGATAGCAATATTTTAAGAATAAAATTAAAATAAAAAGCCAAGGTGTTGAATGGGGTGAACCAAAGGACGAAGTATGACACTAAAAGCTTATACTTGAAGTCTGAGCACAACAGCATAAACCTCAAAACTCCGGCCTACCATATGTGCAACCCCGTCAAACGGAGCTTCCTACTTATTTTATGAAGAGAAGCCACAAACAGGTACCAGTGAGTCTTGCACTTGGCTTCAGGCCTTGAGATACAGCATATTATGACGATGGTAGGGAGTCATTACTGCCATTAAGGAGGGTTATTAGCATTTATCCTGTCTAAGATTTCCCCCTGTCCTGTGACAAACATGATATTTGTCCCCTAGAACATAAAATACATGATCATGTAAAAGCAGTTTCAGGTTCAGGTACATAAATACATGTGAGAATGCTCCAAACTCCCACTGCTTATCCGACTGCACAAAAATAACCACTACTGATGCTATCGCTGGCTGTTTGCAACCTCACATACCCTTTAATCAGTACACTGGGTGAAGAGAACAACCCTCAGAGTTAAAGCAGCAAAAGTTAAATGAGAATGCTTTTTTTTTTCTTTGTCTTTTTGAGACAGGGTCTCGCTATGCAGTTCAGGCTGGTCTCAAACTCGCAAGGATCCTCCCACCTCAGCCTCATGAGTGCTGGAATTACAGGCATGAGCCACCACGCCCGGCTGTTTGCAGTACCGGTACCAGGGATTGAACTCATGCCCTCACGCTTGCCAGGCAGGTGCTAATGTCGCTGAGTGAAATCCCCGGCCCCAGAATGCCTACTTTTTAAATACTTGACCACACTGACTGACTGAATCCCTCTCTCTTTCTATATCCCCTATAGAGGGAAAGTGTGCTTAAAAAAAAAAAAAAAAAAAATCGGGGCTGGGGGTTTAGCTCAGCGGTATAAGCACCTGCCTTGCAAGCAGGCAGTCGTGAGTTTGATCCCCGGTACCGATAAAAAATGAAAAAGACAAAAAAAAAAAAATCAGTGAACAAAATCAGGTGATGCTCTCATCTAAACTGATGGTGCTAACAGCGTCACCAGAAAGGAGTGACAGTGATGTTAAAGCACAATTGGGTCTTTAGATGCCTGAATCACTTCAGTCTAGTCAAAATTTGTACTGGTAAACTGGGAAGACACATTTACAGTGTCTCATGAGAACAAATACTTTGGCAGTGTGTACACCTGATGATAAAAATCAAGATACTATACCAGTGATGGTGAACTTTTTAAAGCTTTAAAAGCTGGCTGTGGCATGTAGGCCACAGGTTCACCACCACTGTTCTATATTATGACAAAACAAAAGCTCTAAAGAAAATCAGCAGTCTGGAATTTTAGTTAAGTTGGGACAGGGTGGGGCAGGTAAAAGGGCTAACTCTTGGCCTTGAAGGAGGTCGGTGTGCACATCACAAGCTGAACAGACAGACCAATTTTGGAGTATTAAGTTGCATGAATTCCCACTTTCCATTCCTAAACAAGATAGATCCGTATCTGGTCTATCAAATCTTTTAACTCTACCTAAGGGTTCAGTGTACACCTGTGTTCGTTTTGAAGCACCTTCAACACAGTGTCCTTGCTCCACTATGGAAGTGTAAGTAGTGGAACTCATGTATCACAGCAGCAGGCAGAACAGCAGCATTTTACTGCGTTCCACTTCCATTTCTTTATATATAAATCCCCACTTCTCTGAGGCCCATGCTCAGAGTACAGTACGCTTACTCTATACTGTATCTCTATATCTTCCTTCAGGTCCTATCTTACAGGGCTAAATTCCAGGATCCCAAATCTAACTTGCTATTGGAAACCTTCATTTATATATACAGCAACTAAGATTGAAACTACCACTGACTACCACCTATTTCTTATCAAGACCATGTAAAAACAAAAAAAAATTTTTTTCTGGAGACAGGGTCTTGCTGTGTAGTTAAGGTGGCCTTGAACTCACTATATAGCCCAAGCTGGCCTTCAAATCCCGGCGATCGCCCTGTTTCAGCCTCCTGAGTGCTGTGACTACAGGTATGCATCACCACCACAAAAAAATTGTTTTTAAAGGCCTGGTAATACAGCTCAGTGTGAAGGCCCTGGGTTCAATCCCTAGGCCCACAACAAACAAACAAAACAATGCACTGCTGTCTTTATAATGAAGAAGTCAATGAAACTACTGAAATGGAACTAAGTTTAAGAGGATTTACAATATGATAAGTCATTTCAAATACACTGACATATCCGATACATTTCAAGCTACTCCCATGTAAAAATTTAAACCATAAAAGGAACAGAAAAAATACAGATGACTATTTGTATAGTTTTCCTGTGAGTACGGAAGCCTAAGAATTCACCAGCCAAAGAAATCATTAAAGGATTAATAGGCCATTTTGAAGACTGAAAAGACAAATGACAAAAATGCAAAACTGTAACATATCACAAAAGTTATTCTTTGTAGAAGCTGTTAAAAATTAGCAAAAAAAGGGGCTGGGGAATTTAGCTCAGTGGCATATGCGTCTACCTTGCAAGCAGGCAGTCATGAGTTTGATCCCCAGTACCGATAAAAAGGAAAAAAGACTTAAAAAAAAATTAGCAAAAAAATGAATGCCTTAATAAAAAATTCAGACAATACAGTCAATTTACACAAGATAAAATGTCGGGGCTGGAGATTTAGCTCAGCGGCATAAGCGCCTGCCTTGTAAGCAGGCAGTCATGAGTTCGATCCCCGGTACCGATAAAAAGGAAAAAAAAAAAAAAAAAAAAAAAAGAGAGAAACAATAAAATGTCAAACAATATTCAAACTATACCAGTAACCAAAGAAAAGAAAATTAAAACAATATTTGTTTTCATTTATTACATCAGATAAAAGAAAATGGTAATACACTGCATTGGGTGCACTCTCTTACACTGCTAAAGGGAGTGTAAATGGATGATGTTTTTGGAGTGCAATTTGACCAACAGAAAATGTATGCAGCGTTTGAAATTAATTCCAATTTTTGGAATTTATCTTTAAAAATGTAAAAAACTATTTCTCATAATAAAATAATCATCTTTATTCAATACATGGGAGTTACAGAATAGTTAAAACAACTGAAATTATGCAGTTGATAAAAATGATGTAAATTATATGTATGTATTTATTTGTTTGGTTTTTGTCTTTTTCAGACAGGGTCTTGCAGTGCAATTTAGGCTGCCCTTGGTTTCACTTTGTAGCCTAGGCTGGTCTCAAACTCACAACGACCCTCCTGCCTCAGTCTCCCAAATGCTAGGATTACAGGTGCATGCTACCATGCCCAGCTGTAAATATATATATTAATTTTTAAAAGTATGTATAACAACCTTAAGGGGGAAAAAAACACAATTGCTATCATATCATCTGACACAGCAGCCAGGCTTTCTTGCCCTTGGTCTCCAAAAGAGGAGATACACTTTTTACTACCAGGACCAGGCCAAGATGATCCTGTTTGATCTCTCCCTAAAACTTAAATACCATGCCATCTCCAAGAGCCCTAGAACCAATGAATCAGCCATGCAAAAACAGAAAAGGGCAGAGTGTGTTCACTGCGGATGCCCAGGCTGACCAACACAAAGCAATTCTGTGATACCGAGGTGGCCAAGGGTTAACACCTCATTCAGGCCTGATGCAGCGAACCCACGTGCCTGGCTATGATGCTTTAGATGTTTCCAGCAAAACTGGGAATTGTTAAATTGATTCTACCTGGTTAATTCTAAACTTAATATTTATCATCATAATAGTTATCATAACTAATTTTGGAAAACAGATACAAGAAAAAATATCAGAGTGGTGTATCTGATATATATGCTTTTTGTTTCTGCTTATATTTCTAATTTCCCACAACAAACATTTATAACCTACATGAAACACACATACACAACTCCCTAACTACAACCTGTCCAGACTCCACTGATAGTCTATCATGCCCTGGTTCTATTTGTGCTGCCCTTCAGCTCTGTGAGTAATGAGCTCCTTTTCTCCATCTCATTCTTTTGAGGTTGGTTGCCCTTTTTATTTTTTCCAGGAGACAAGGCTTGCCATTAGCTGACTTCCCTTTCCTCCTCTTAATAACAATACCCACCCTCAACTCCACAGTCTGGGTTAGACTTCCCCCTCAACGCTGCACATTAGCAGAGCTCATTCTCAGCCACCTTGTACTGGGTTATGTGACACAAGTTGTGCTTATTTCCAATACTCCTTTTGCACAGAAGCTAGCACACAGTAGAGATAAATGTGTGCAAAAAATCAAGCAAGATTTAAAAAACAATTATCTTGGCCAGGTACTTTTTACACACATTATTTTATGTTTTTCAGTGCTGGGCATAGGCCTTGCACATGCTAGACAAGTACATAGCCAGGTACTCTTTAAATTCCTGACTGCTTGAGTCATGATTATATATACTTTAACATCTTCTCATTCCAATGCTTTGAAACCTGTACACGCATTGGATTTATGAAGAAACAAATGGCTCCAGAAATAACTTGGAGAACATTATGGATGTTTGTCACTTTAGAAACCTAGTATATTAGAAAAAAATGTTTTCTTAGTATTCAGGACCTGTGGAAACATTTCTGCTTATAAATAATAATTTTTGAAAATTATATTCAAGATATATAATTATTTACTTATTAACTTCTCTGCTCCTCAAATCAAACTGGTTTTTTCCCCCATACCAACAATGCTACTGTGGGTAGAGTGCTATTTGTCTGAAATGCTTGAGATATACACATATATGTATATGCATATACATAAGAGTTATTTTGCGGATGGAACCTAAGTCTTAACATGAAATTTGCTTATACATATAAACCTAAGATACCTTTTACACAATTTAAAAAATAATTTTGTACATAAAACAACTGTGTGGGATTTTGCTTTCATTTCTTTGAGTCAGGGTCTCGCTATGTAGTTCTTGGTGACCTTGAACTCACTATGTAGCCCAAACTGGCCTCTGACTCACAAGGGCTGGGATTATAGGCGTGTGCTGCCACACCTGGTCTGTATGGGGTTTTTGTTTGAAGCATTCAAAAAGTTTCAAGTTTTGGAGCATTTCAGATTTTTAGATTAAGGATGCTAGATCTGCAGTGGGATTTGCTAAGTTATGCTGAAGTGAACATGGCACTTTCAAATCAATCTTTAAATCAAAGTATCATCATTTAAATGTCAAGTTCTGTTAAGAATTTTCAAAAGACTATTCAAAACACAAATATAATGAAACAACAGAAAAGTAACCAAACATACCTGGTCCTTTTCAAGTGTAAGTATTTGATAGCCAGTTGTTCTACTACACACTAGTTTTCCATTACTATCAAAAGAAGCCAAGCGAAGTCTAGGATTTAAAAAAACAAGCACAAAAGCATGCTTTTAAAACCACAGATTAATCAAGCCCTACCTCATTTTAATATTTTCTCATCCATATTTTCTTTTCAAACTGTCTTTTTAAATTGTAAATTGATTCCATTGAGATTTACAAACCTGCACTGAAACAAAAAAATCAAAAATATTAATAAATGATTTTATATATATATATATTTCTTTTTTAAGAGAATGTTTTTTTTTTGTCTTTTCTTTTCCCAGTACCGGGGATCGAACTCACGACTGTCTGCTTGGAAGGCAGGTGCTTATGCCGCTGAGCTAAATCCCCAGCCCCTATGATTTTATACTTATAAAAAAATATAAAAATATATTATTCTATGTCTTACCAAATACTATTAGTGATATAAAAGATCAGATTTTAATTTAATTTTTTACATTTCCCACAGAGTGGGAAGGGAAATCTCACCCTACCGAAATGCTAAGCTCCTTCGAGGTTGTAAACTGACAGATCCGCTACATGGCTGATTCAGTGTATTGCGTTTGAAAATGATGAACCGATTGGTGTAAGTCACAAGTAGGTCAAAGCCGAAGTTAAAACCTGTCCAACGCCAGCAGTACTAGAAGATTACAAAAGAGACATTTAGTTTAGTTTATCATGTAAGTCAAAAATAAAAAACTGAAAATGTTTTTTCTCTAACTCATTCCAAGTATTTTGCCCATAGATCCCTTACTTTGTTAATATTTTCCCTTAAGGCTTCTCATAAAATTATATACCTAAACTGGAAATGCAGCCTGTACGATTAAAATTCCTCTAGCTTTCTACATTACAGTTCTAAGTATAGCCAGATGAAGCCATTAACATGCATCTTACTTTAGAAATAAGTCTAAAATACAGAAATACACAGAACTGGGTTATTTTATTTTCTGTCTTTTTGAGACAAGGTTTCACTATGCAGTTCAGGGTGGCATTCAACTCGCTATGTAGCACAACCTGAATTCATGGCAGTTCACCTGCCTCAGCCTCCTGAGGGCAGGGTTTACAGGTGTGTGCCACATGCCCAGCAGAACTGGATTATTTGAAATACATCATGAGGGTCCGAGTTTGTTTTTTCTATCAGTGAATAGGCAATGAGAGTGTATTAGGTAAAGTAGTGTGGTGCAAGGAAGTACAGTTAGGACTTCAGGGGTTTGTTTGACATCATGAATGATGCATTCATGCATCATTAATGCAGTATTTAACTAATATGTGTTAAGCAAATATGCCAGGTATTGCCACTACTCTAGGCAATGGAAACACAGGCAGATAAAATGAAGTTTCTGCTTTGGTAAGGTTTATATTCTACTATGTGAATATGTTTGTGTGGTAGGAAGAAGGATGAATAATGCTCATAGAATGGAGAAGACAAGAAAGTCAGGACAGGACAGAGGGCAGCTTGCAGGACAGAGAGAAGCCTGCTAATTTACTCAGTGCTCAGAGGAAGTCCTGAGTAGGCTAAGCGAAGGAGGGGACTAGGCAGCCATCTGGGGAAGTGTCACAGGAAGAGAGAAGAGCAAGCACAACCATACGGAGGGAAAGCATGCTTGGCACATTTAAAGAGGAGCAAGCAGGGCTACACCGCCCGGGCAGTGACTGACTGGGACAAAACCTGGAGATGAGTTCACAGAGACAGCCAAGGCCAAAAAAGGAAGGCCTGCTAGTCCACTGTAAGCAAGATTTCAGATGTCTTCTAAGTGTGGTAAGAGGTGAATAGAAAGTATTAGAAAATGAAAGGATATAATTTAACTTATACTTTAAAAAGACCACTTTTGGGGGCTGGGGATTTAGCTCAGCGGCATAAGCACCTGCCTTGCAAGCAAGCGGTCATGGGATCGATCCCTGGTATCGATAAAAATGAAAGACCAAAAAAAAAAAAAAAAAAAAAGACCATTTTTGACTGTTGTATGAAAGGCGAGTAAAACAGGAGAGCAGTTTGAGATTAGTCCATAGCCCAGGCGGGGAATAAGGTGCCCTGGACTTGGGTGTTAGTGGTAGGCATATTAACCATGTATTTTAGGCATACAGCCTTGCACAATTTCTCATGGACACCAAGAATGGTACGAAAGAAAGAGGAGTCCAAAATGAAGTCTGAAGTTTGGAGCGTATGCATGGATAAATGGAGGGGGCTGCCAATGCACTGAATATTTGGGATGGAGGCTGTTTAAGGATGAAACTCAAGCACTCTGCTTGAGACAGTGGGATTTTGTTTGGTTGGTTTTTTTGCTTCGTTTTTGATGGTGCTAAGGAAACCCAAGGCCTTGCACATGCTTAGCAGGTGCTCCACCTGAGCCACACCCCCAGCCTCCAGGAATGTTATGAATGAGATGTGATAAGGTATCCAAGAAAGATGCCAAGTGAACAGTTAAGATATATGAACTTGGGGCTAGGGCTTATCAGTGAAGAGATGACCTATGACATCACAGGACTGGGAATAAGCACAGATAAAAAAGAAGTGCAAGAACTAAGCCACCAGTTATAGCAACATTTGCTGAGTAAGAAATGATCTAGCAAAGACTTTAGAAGGAGCAGTCAATAAAGTAGGAAGCAAACCAGCAGAGTATGCTGTCCTCTAAGCCAAGTGGAGAAGATCTTTCACTAATGCTTGAGGAAACAGATGTGAATGCTGCTAAGAGCAGTCAGAATAAGATTCCTGACTACCTGATTTGGCAACCTGGGATCACTGCCGATACTGGTGTAGCTGCTTCAGTGGAGTTGTACAAATGAAATAAATGGGAGTGTATTAAAGAAGGTGCTAGAGAAGTGATAGAAACTTTGATAATTGTAGATAATCATCAAGAGACTACAACAAAACAAAACAACTTTGCTGGCCTTGGAAAAGATTAAGTAGAGGGGATGAATACGGCCAACTTTTCCCGTGAGTTTTGTCTGAAAGGGGTGCAGAGAAATGAGAGGAGCTAGAGGGGAATGGGGAGTCAGATATAGTTGAAGACAGATGATACTGCAAGATGAGACAGTGCAACCATTCTCAGAACAGAAAAGCACAGGCACAATCACAGATGCAGGTGGACTGATACAACTGCTGATAAGGAGAGGTACTGATTCTCTGCCTACTGCAGTGAGGAACAAGGTTATCATGTAGCATTCCCTTTTTGAAGAGGGGTTAAGTCATGTGAGATAGTAAGAGGATAAATTCACTAGAGATGTGGGAGAAACACCTTGTAGCACTACAGGCCCTTTGATGTTTATGTGTGGCTACAACATTTTAAGGAAACCCATTGGGATGTGGTGTATTTAGTCATACTCATCTATTTGGCCATAGGCATGAACTGCATGAAAAGATAGAATTTAAAACAAGTTGGGGTTTAGCCAGATGGGTATAACAGAGTCAGTAAGGGAAAAGAGAAGCTAAAAAGGCCAATTTTAATATGGAATATAAAATACAAATTAACAAAAAAGTAAGGATGTGGTTAGAGAGGTGACTGGAAAACAGGCAGTAAGAACAATGTATTATAAATCCCAGTGGGAGTACAACATTGTTGTAATCCAGGTACTGGGGAGTCAGTTACAAGGATAAGAGGAAGTAGAGCCCCAAAATGGGATACCTGAAATGGAGATTTTGAAGATACAGTAACCAGTGATGAAAAACTTGCGGATGTCTGGCTGGGAATGCAAGCCCGAGGTTGGCGACTACCAGGAGAAGGAGGGTCAGGGAGAGACACAGTGAAATCACAAGTGGTAACAAAGTGGTGACCAGAGTGAATCCTGTGTATTTCAGCCAGCATAAGGTGGTGGATGGAGCAGTAAACACTGCAGCTTTAAAGACACTGGATTTTAATGATGAAAGAAGAACAAGATATGGAAGCAGCAACAAAGAAGGAGTAGGAATAAAAAAGATAACTCATACTCTGAATACTCGTCACAACTGTGAAAACACACATAAAATAACTGACCTTTAAAAAATTAAATGAAGGTAAATTTGGGAGAAAACGAAGCGCATGATTACTTAAATTAGGAAAATATTTCTTAAAGATGAAAATTATGATTAGCCTATAAAATTGATTTAATGGGTCATGATCAGCTTTTTAAAATAATTAGAAAACAAGTTCTCTAGACATAGCAAGGGTAAGAACTGTTTTAAGTATTTTCCTACATGTATATTGTTATGGTTTGTGCCTGGATGTCCCTCCAAGGCCTCATGCCGTCACAGGGGTGGACTTGTAGAATCTGTGATCGAGTCATGGTCCACTGCTGGGACTATGGGTGTGAAGGCTACGCTGACCTAGGGTGAGGAGCCTACATATAACACCAGGGATAGAAAGGGTCTCCTCTTCGCCCTCCTCCCTTTTGCTCTCGCTGCTTTTACTCTTTTCCACTACCATGAACTGTTGCCCTCTTCCATGTGCCACCCTGCTTTGGAGCCAACTGAGTATGGACTATAACTCCACAAATGTGACCTAAATGAACCTTTCCTTCCTTTATTTTGGGCATCAGGTATTTTGTCTCAGCAATGAGAGGAAAGTAACCAATATGTATATATATTAGGGGAAAAAGAAAAAGGTAACTCATGTGGATAACACATAAAGGGCTTGAATATCTTCATTTAGGATAAATATAAAACAAATCACTTTTAACGACTATGTAAAAAAAAAAAGACTAAGTAACACATCCCACATAACTTTTTGTTTTCATTCTTGTCATTTTTTTATTTTTTTAGACAAGGTCTCACTATATAGTTCAGGCTAACCTTGAACTCACTATATAGTTCAGGAAGGCCTCAAATTGGCAGCGATACTCCTGCTTCAGTCTCCAAAGTACTGAGATTATAGGCACATGCTACCAGGACTGGCCCCAAATAACTTCTTTTACCTTGCTTTCTGGATTGCCATAGGATTTTTTTTTCCCAAATTGCTTATCTGGACCCAAAATTTAAGTTCAACAGTCTTACACAAGGGTGAATAATCAATCTACACTGGGCACAGTGATACAACTCTTTGCTCAGGACCTCATGTTCCAGAAGTCATGAAATAAACTCTTCCAAAATATGATAGGTGTCACATTATCATGTAAAATGTATTAACTGGTAAGAGTTTTCAGATATTGATGCTTTTAATCTTTTTATGAAAAACTGCAAACATGAAATTAGAGAAAATACTGAGCCAAATTTTCTCAATAATTTATATGAGAATATTAATATTGTTAATAAACACATACTTACTTCACCATCTTTGGTAAGTTTTCTACCACACCTCATGCTATTTTCCTCTAGTTCTTCTTTATTGATTTCTCGAGGCCTAAAAATATATGTAAGTCATGAATTTTCATAGAAAATAGGCAACTAATAACTGAAGAAAACTTGTAATTTAAAAACAAAATCTCAGAGCCGGGGATTTAGCTCAGTGGTGTAAGCACCTGCTTGGTAAGTGCAAGGTCATGAGTTCAGTCCCCAGTATCACCCCCCCAAATCTTGCTTCTAGATTTAAAAATAATTTTTATAGGGATAAGGTCATATGAAGTGTCCAAACACATAATAATAACAGTAAGTGTAACAATATGTAATAAAACAATAATAAGTGTAAATAAAACATGTCCTTGATATCCAAGAGCCTGGGCAAGTAGAAAATGAGATGGAAATAGTGACCATGAAAATCTGGAAAGAGGGGTAATGTTAGAAGCATGGAGGAGGCGCAGATTGAGCTGGGCATGGTGGCACATGCCTGTAATCGCAGTACTTTGAAGACTGAGGCAGAGGGTTATTGCAAATTTGAAATCAGCCTGGGCTACAAAGTGAGTTCAAGGCCAGCTAGACTACATAGTGACAACCTGTCTCAAAAAGACCAAAAAAAAAGCAGACTGATCACCTAGAGTGCAGGGAACTGTCACAGAGGAAGTGTTGGCACTGGAGTGGGAGCCCGGTGGGTAGAGGTGGGAGGTGTATTCTGTACAGAGGGAGGGAACATATGCAGGAAGAATAGCTTACTATTCAGTTTTTACCTTTTAAAAAGGGACTGAAGAATAACAGAATATCAAATGAACAAAGAATTTAGGGCAGCTGGAGTGTAAGATGAGCAATAAGAAGAGAAGAAACTAAAGACATTTGGGACAAACTGCTGAAGGTTCCACAGGCCACATCTCAACTTTTCCTGTAAGTGACAGAGTTCTCACACATGTGTTCTGCTAATATGAAACTCTATTATTGCAAACACATGGAAATAGAGAAAACAGGTAGAATAATAAGCCAAAGTTTGTCATCATCTGACCTCAGTAATCTTTATTTTTTTACTTTTTTGGGGGACAGGGTCTTGCTGTATAGTTCAGACCAACCCTGAACTCACTATGTGGCCCAGGCTGGCGGTTAACTTGTAGCAATCTTCCTGCCTCAGCCTCCCAGGGGCCGATATTACAGGCATGGGTCAGGCACTGGCTGACCTCAATAGTTTTAAATAGCAAAGCAGTAATCTCTCTTAACTGTCATCAAGTGTCTCTGGATAGATTTAAGAAGGGCACTGACACAGCTATATTTCTGTAGCTAACTATGACCACACATTCAGTGTCATGAAGTATAACATTTATCAGGGCAGTACCATCATAATCACCTACTACTACTAATCACTTCTTTTCAATGCCAGAGGTTGAAGCTGAGGCACCTCTCATACGCTAGGCAAATCCTCTAGCCACTGAGCTACACTCTTGGCCCTAATCATGTACTTCTGTGGTCAAGAAAACTAGACACTTCCTCTAACTCAAGTTTCTCAGCTAAGATTATGTATCAACCCTTAGTAAGGATAAAGATGAGAAAAATCTTAAAAATGTAGAACAATTTATAATTACTTCATGTTACAAAATGCTTTTAATCTGAATTGCATTAAATAATTCATTTTTTGGATTACATTATTTTTTTCCTGGTACCAGCAACTGAACTCAGGACCCTATACTTGCCAGGCAGTTGCTTATGCCACTGAGCTATATCCCCAGCCCTTGATTTATATTTCTTTTCTTTTTTTTTGGCCTTTTTGAGACAGGGTCTCATTATGCATTCACATTGGCCTTGGGCTTACTTTGTAGCCCAGGCTGGTCTTGAATTTGTAACGATCCTCCTGCCTCAACCTTCCCAATGCTGGGATTAAAGGTGTGTACTACCACTCCCATTGGTCCTTGATTTATTTATTTATTTATTTTTGGGGTACCAGGATCGAACTCATGACCTCACGCTTGCCAGGCAGGCACTTGTGCCACTGAATCCCCAGCCCCTTGATTTATATTTCAACTATGCTATTATACTTATGCTGGGAAAGTATGTTATGAATATATTTGGGAAAAGATGAAATTATACATAAAAACTAAAACCATGGATAACAATAACTTTATAATCCATCATGAATTTATGTAACACTTTCATACATTCACTGTTTAGCTATAAACTTAAAACTACTTATTATTTTGAGAAATTCTTGGTGTATTAAATGGGTTAAAAGAGATTTGGGGCAGAAAAATTAAACTTTTTATAGCCTCTTCTAACTCACAGGTACACTATACCCCATCTATTTCAAGGAGCTAGCACAATGATCAATAATGTGAAAGTACCTTCTATGAACTGTAGAAATACTTTTTAAGGGTATCATATGCTTTTGGAAGGGCATGTTTAATTCTAAAAGATCTTCAGAACAACCTATTTATTACTGAAAATTTGACAATACTACCCCAATTAACCTTACCTTTAAGGTAAATATGAAAATCATGCTGTATGAAAGTATTATTTCAAGTAATGTTTCAATATGTTGAAATCAAATCAGTACCAGGTAAAACAAAGTATATGAATTACTCAAATTTAATAATACAGTAAGTGACAATTCAAACATTTTATTACACTAATTGATCAGAAAGATAGTTGTAGGACTGTTTTAAAAATATAATAAAATTTGACGCCTGCATATTCCTACAACTTCTCAGAGTCCTTTGGGCAGTGACTGAGGAGATAAACCATGCAGGAAACAATGTAAAGAAAAAAAATATATATATATAATAAAATTTGATTATATGGTCATTTCTTTAACAATTTGAGTTTTAAATTTTTAGAACAGATTTTTCAATATAATAACTGCGTTTAAAAATTCATGGCAATTTTTTTTCTTTTTTTTGGATGAGAAATGTAGCTTACTGACAAAATGCTTGCAGACCAGATGAGAGGACACTCTGGGTTTGACCCCCAGAACCACAACAAAAATTACTGATTTTTAATGAACAATCATGTAATACACTTACCCCACTTCACTGTCCTGTTCTGCCCGCAGCATAGCAAGCCACTGCTGTTTATATACAGAAGACAGCCATTCTGCAGTATAAACATCAATTAATAACAGACACAAATAGAACATGGAGGATTTAAACATTATAAGTAACTGATAAAATTATTTCTAATTTTGTTTAAAATAGCAATATAAAAAGCAGGTAGCTTGCATTTTATAAGCATGCTATAATAATAGCTTAACAATCTTTTTTTGGTGTGCTGTTTATGGCTTTGGAATGGCAAATGTTACCCAATTTTGCCTCAAAGTAGACTTTAGATTACATACATTTCGATTCAGTTAGGATCAACGTCCTTAGTTAAAATTCAAAGTACAATCTTGAATTTAATAGCTTGTAACTTAAATTAATTGCATCTTGTGAAAATCATTCTTTATTTTCAGCTTTTACAATAAAAATTTTCTAATAAAAATTGAATAATAGATTTTTCCTTTATCTGAAAATAACAATTTTATCCTTTAGGAAATAAGCTAAATTAGTAGATGAAGAATGTACATTCAAGAATAATTTGGAGGGCCAGGGATTTAGCTCAGTGGCATAAGGACCTGCCTTGCAAGCACGCAGCCATGAGTTTGATCCCTGGTACCAAAAAAGGAGAATAATTTGGAAAAATTAGATTTGGATACTGTTATTAAAAATAAGAGATTGTAAGTTTGAGCTCAGTTTGGGCAACTTAGTGATTTAGCAAGATCCTGTCTCAAAAATAAAAAAGGGCTGGGTATGTAATTCAATGCAAAGGCCCTGGATTCAACTCCCAGTACCACAAAAAAAAAAAAAAAAAAAAGTAAGGAAAGTAAAACCAAGTCAAGTGAATTTAAAGTGAATTCAGAGTACTACCAGAAAAGTTACAATTGGGGTGTGGGGACAGGTCTCACGATGTAGTTCAGAACAGCCTAAACTCACAGCGACCCTCTAACCTTAGCCTCTCAAGGGCTGGGATTATAGGCATGCACCACCATGCCTAGCTAGTTATGACTTTACAATACTTCTAAAGTCATTTTTCAAAGTCTGATTCAAAGTAGTGTACTGGTTAATAAAATGAAAGAATGGGTGTGATGGTGCATACCTGTAATCACAGCACTCTAGGATACTAAGGCTCAGAGACTGAAATTTGAGCCCAGCATAGGCAAATTAGCAATTTAGTAAGACCCTGTCTCAAAATACAAAATGGGCAGAGGATGTAGCTCACTATGAAGATCCTGGGTTCAATCTTCAGTTCTGGGCGGGGGGGGGGGAACCCTAAATAAAATGAAAGAACATTTGTACTACAGAATGCTATTTTAATATTCTAGAGAATATTTGATGAAATTGATATGGGAAGATAGCCACCACATATAATACAAAGGTAGAAGATTACATATGCAGTATGACTCCATTTGGACATAAAAATGTATACCTTTTTGACATTAAGGATAGTTACCCCTTTCTATGATACATATTACTGTTACAAGAAAAACATAGTTTAAAATCATGAATTCATCATGCTCTCTTACCTGAAGGTACTAACGAATCTTGTTCAATAATCCTTGCAGAAGCCAGATCACTAATAATATACTGTAACCTCAGCTGTCTAAACACTGACATGAATGGTATTCCTTGCTCAGTTTCAAGGAATGCCATACTTTTACAATCTAAAAAACAAACAAACAAAAAAAAACAAAAATAGAGCAAATGAACAACAGACATTAAAAAAATCTATTATTATTATATTCTTAAATGTTTCTATGGGCACACACACCTCCCCCACTAGAATACAGATAAGCCAGTTTCACAATTTTGTGTGTGTGTGGATACAGGCAATCGAACTGAGGACCTCATGCTTGCCAGGCAGGTGCTGTGCCACTGATCTATATCCCCGGCCCTAGCTTCAAAATTTTGAAGAATCTCCCGCCCCAGTACTGGGGATCAAACTCACGGCCGCCTGCTTGCAAGGCAGGTGCTTATGTCACTGAGCTAAGTCCTCAGCCCCTAAAATTTTGAAGATTTTTATAAATCTGAAGTGTGAGGATAAAAATTTAGGGAGATTTAGAAATTGGTACTAGTGAGACTACTGGACTGGGAATTCAGTTGTGTTTTGACAGTTTAGAGCTTGTAATCCCACAAGGTAGGAAAGTCTGAGAAAAATATGAGACTGTTATCACTCTGGAATCCCTATCCAAGTACTAAATATTGTAGTGAAATCTGGAGCTCAAATGCCTAACTCATGTGTTTTCACAAGATATACAGTACATGGAACACCTCTTGGTAACTTTTTTTTTTTTTTTTGGTACTGGGGATCGAACTCACAACCTTGCGCTTGCCAGGCAGGCACTTAGGCCACTGAGCTAAATCCTTGGCACCTCTTGGTAATCTTAGTAAGTTCTTTTATGAATCAATGCTTCTTGTAACTTTTGCTTCAGCTACAAGAGATAAACACTACTTGATATATTAATTCTCTATTGAAGTACAAATTAGAGTCAGGCATGGTGGTACACGCCTATAATCCCAGCTCTTGGGAGCCTGAGCTAAGAGGATACCTGCAAGTTTGAGGCCAGCCTAGACTACCTAGAGAATTCAAGACCAGGCTGAAACAAAAATCCAAACCAAACCAAAAAGATACTGCCACCCCTGAACTAAATTAAACCTCTTGTCTTTAAAAAAGACACTTACTGTAGCTTGTAATACATGTATAGAATTAATTCATTGTTCATGTTATGAAGTAATGAATATTTAATATTTTCATTTAGGAGAAATTTAAGGTCATTTGAAAAAATTCTCATTTGCATTCCTATGTACTTTCATGAATAGGAAGGAAATGTGAAGCCTCTTCCAGTAAAAAAACTGGGGATGGTGGTGCACGCCTGTAATCCTAATACTCAGGAGGCACAAAGATTATGGTAAAGTTCAAGGCAAGCCTGGGCTACTTTGTGAGTTCAAGGTCAGCCTCATCTACTGAAATATTATCTCAAAAAAAAAATTTTTTTTTAAAATGATAGTTATTATAGATCATATCTTTTTTTTTTCTTTTTTGGGGTACTGGGGATCAGACTCACCACTTTGTGCTTTCCAGGCAGGCATTTTTGCTGCTGAGCTAAATCCCCACCCCAATAGATCATACCTTAAGGGTTAATCATGCCTCATGTGAAACAAAGAGTTTTTCATGAACTAAAAAGTTGTTCTCCAACAAAGTTTTTTTTTTTTTTTTTTAACTGAAAATGGTAAAAACATCTAAGGTAAAGAATTTTTGCAATTCTATCTTATGCATCTTTTGACATTCCTCTGGTACCTTCCAAAAGTCAAGGAAAAAACATAAGAAAGAGTATATACATTTTTAAAAGAAGTTAACTTATTTATATCAGGCATGCAGCTGGATTTCCATCTCTTGATTTTTTTCTCTTCTTAGTAAGAGCGACATCTTCAGCCTCTACTCCCTACTCGTTTTTGAGGCAGGGTCTCACTAAATCAGTAATGTAGGCTGGAGTAAACTTGTGATCCTTCTGCCTTTATCTTCTAGAGTGTAGGGATTACAGGTGTATGCCACCATCCCTGGTAGCCTTAAAAAAAATCATTGTTCTACTTCATGTTGAAATAAATGTGCCAATTTCCTTTAATCCCACCTACTGGGGGTTGAAGCAGGAGGAGCACAAATTTAAGTCCAATCTGGACAATTTAGTGAGATCCTATCTAACTAAAAAAGAAAAAGAGGTAGAGATTTAGGTCAGTGGTAGCAAGCCCTTGAGTTCAATTCGCAATACTGCCATAAAAAAAGCCAATTTGCAAATTTCACAGGCTGTATACTGAGACTAAATAATGCTGTTGACGTCATTATCATCATCTTTTTCTTCCTTTTTTGAGACAAAGTCTTGTTTTATAGTTCAGTCTGGCTTTGAATTCACTGCAATCTTCTTGCCTCCACCTGCCAAGTGCTGGGACTGCAGGCATGTGTCATCATGCCTGACCAACAATATCATTATGTTCTTACAGATGCCCTGCCACATGAATAAATTATAACTTTCTAATTCTAGATGGTCTTAGAGAAATCTGGTAATCCCATGGAGCCTTTTCTTCTAGACGGTAGAGCAAACTGGTTCACTGGCTTAAGAATTTGTAGAATCCAAAAAGTTTGTTTTAAACTATCCTGCTGTCCAACATGTAATTATACTAATTATTAACCAAATTCAATATAAATCCTTAAGTATAATTGTGTGAAATTTTTTTTTATTGCTATTGTTTCTTTTAAACTGGATCCTTGGGCCCTGGACATAGCTCAGCAGCATTAAGTGCCTGCCTGGCAAGTGCAAGATCCTTAGTTTGATTGCCAGTACCTAAAACAAAACAAAACAAAACTGGATCTTTATATACCTGAGGAACCGGATAATAAAGACAACTTAAAAAATATACCAATATGTAATAGGTCAAGTACAAGTGATTTTTCTCTATTATATCTATTATATTAGGTATACCTCACTTTGAGAATTTTATTACTGTTTGCAATGACTCTGTGAAGTCCTCAGAAAAACACAAGCATCAGATATACATTTTGCTTTGTGGAGTAAATGTCTCCTGAAGTTATCTTAAACTGTACACAGTGACACACTAAGGCTAGGAAGATACTAGAGTCAGAACACCAGAAACAAACCACAGCTTCTTATTCTGGTTCTTGTCACTTCAGCTCAGGACTGTTTCTCTCTGTGGCTGACCTGCCTGGAACACCAATAGGCACGAGGTAGTGTCACCAGCTCCCCAACTCTGGTTTTTTTTATTCTCCACTCTCCTTATCTTTTTCAGATTTTTTTGTCTCCTCACTTTCTGCCTCTATTATTTTCCTAATCTTTCTTTAATTGCCATAATGTAACATAAACCTAGTATTTTGTCCTTCAAGTAAATCAAGTTAGATTTTATTACATAGCCTGTTTTCTTTTTTTGGTATGGGGTACTGAACTCAGGACCTCATGCTTGCCAGGTAGGTAGCTTGCACTGCTGAGCTATACACTTGGTGTCCTTTTTAATCCTTTTGGCTCAGGAGTTGCATAAAAAATAATAATAATAATCTCACTCTTAGCTAGGAAATCTGACTACATAAAGTAATTTCACAAAATTAATTAATTAATTAATTATTTTTGGGTGCCAGGGATTGAACTCACAACCTCGAACTTGCCAGACAGGTACTTATGCCAGTGAGCTAAATCCTCGGCCCTACAAAATTTATTTAAATAAGACACACACTAAATTTTAAAATTCAGAACCTCTATTCAACAAAAGACACTAAGAAAAAAGGATAGCCAACATATTGAAAGTGCAAAACACATTTCTGACAGAGGATTGGTTATTCAGAGTATGTAAAGAACACATATAAATCATTAAGACAAATCTGTTATAAAAATGGGAAAATGTTCAGGTAGACATTTCGCAGAAGAGGAAATGTGATCAATAAACATGCAAGAGCCACTTAATCTCTTTAGTTACTAAGGAGATAAAAAAAGGATGTGAGGCAGTTTTGTAACAGCTCAAACAAAATGACCTAGGATTGCTCCAAGGAGCTCACCATGGATATCTCTTCCCAGCTGTCACGCTGCTAGCCTGAAAAATGCTACAAATTGGGAATTTTTTTAGAGTTACCTTATTTATACACTATTATGTATGTGACAACATTTTTGTTTAAAACAAAATAATAAACGTAAAACTCAAGATACTGGTTAGGGAGAGTAAGATGGATCTAATAGGTGAGAAACACGCAGAGTGAAGTTAGGAAGCCAAGATTAGTTCACGGAAGTTCAACATATTAATGAAAAATTTAAAAAGGCAGTCATGCATGGACCAAAAATGGTAATAATTTGGGGCCAGGAATATAGCTTAGTGGCACAAACACCTGCCTGGCAAGCACAAGGTCCTGAGTTTGATTCCCAGCGGGAAAAAAAACACCAGCATAGAATTCTTAAAAATAACAGTAATCTAAGAAGGTCACGAAGTAAGGGTTATGATTTAGTCATTTCTTTGTATATGAGGGCCATTAAAAGTTTTTTCCAAATTTGTTTTAGCAAAGTAAAAATAATAAATTGCATACTCCTGTCTACCCAGGTAAGACAACTGTTACCTTAACCAAAGTTAGATCAGTCTCTGCCAAGAATCTAATGAAAGATACTGAAACTTCCCTTGCCCCTGAAAAACGCAAGCAACACATAAGTACATTATCAGATTCCATTCTACTTTCAGGGACTAGTGGCACAAAGAACGCTGTCCACAGGCCCCTGTACTAAAAGGATATAGTTTGCCAGGGAAATCATGCAGTGTAGTTAAACAAAAGAAATGCAATCAAGAAGATCTATCAGTACTAAAATGGAAGAAACAACAATTGTAGGGAATCATGGTATGGTGACAGATCAAAGAGTAACAATTCAGATAATCCTAGCCTAGGCATTTTTCTTATTTAGCCAAAATTTTCTCATTGTAAAAGAGGTTCAACTGGATAACTGCAAGGGTTCTTAACAGATCTAACAGCCAGTCTATAACCAAATTGGGTCTGTTTTCTTTTATTAGTACATGTTTGCAGTACACAAGGATTATATTTACTGTAAGAAACTGGTGTGTGTACAGAACAATTTCAGTTCCTTTATTTCCCCTTCCTTCCATCCACCTTTTATTTTTCCAGCATTGGAGTTAATTATCATAAATACAGACTAAATACCAGACTAACAGGCCAAAGAACACATAAAACATTTAAGACAATTGTACTAAGTCAAAGTACACTTTTAGTTACACTGTCCATGCTGGATTACAATACTTTTTTTTTCTTTCTGTTTTCCTAAGGACTCAAATCTAGTAAATTCCACTTTAAAAAAGAGAAGTTCTCAATAAAAATTTCAGGCATACCCTTTTTCCGCTTAGAAAACCAGTTATCTGTTTCTGTCAAAAGCTGTTTTAAAGATCCATTCCAAGAAGGCACAAGTTGAAGGAACATCCACTAGGTTAAAAACAGTAAGAAAAAAATCATAAGACTTCATCATTTTATATTTCAAATAGCTTCCACCTTTAAATATAATATCAGCAAAATTTTAATTTCCACTGAACAAGCAACTGAGAGAAAAATGTAGCACTATTATAAAACATGCTTACAAACTTTAAATTCATCATGGCATTAATCACACACAGTCAAAAATAAAAACTGGATGTGCATCAAGAAGTCAATCCTTGAAAAGTATTCACAAACACACCTTATTAAAAGGTAAAGCTTTAAGATATACTACATTAGTAAATTTACACTAATTTTGTACACAATGCTCCAAGTCAGAAACATAAGGCTAAAAGCAAAATTATGTAGCAAGAAGACAGGGGACAGGACTTATCAAATCTGTCCTCTGCCCGGCATGGTGGTGCACTCCTGTAACCCCAGCAACTCGAGAGGCTGAGGCAGAAGAGTTCGAGACCAGCCTGGCTATGAAGTGAGCTCTAGGCCAGCCTTAACTGCATAGTGAAACCCTGTCTCAAAAAAGACAAAAAAACAAACAAACAAACAAATCTGTCCTCTGCTTCAAGCTTGCCACTTAGTAATTGTAAGAATTCTGTTTTTCAAATTAAAAGTTTGTGCACAGCAAAGGAAAAAACCAAGAACAGGGACCAATATCTAGAATATATGAAGAAATCAAAAAAATTGGGCCCAAAGATAAAAAGATCCAATAAAAAATTAGGTAACTGAAAGAAACACACACTTCTCAAAAGGAGAGACACAAATGATCAATACGTACATAAAATATGTTCAGCATCTTTGACCATCGGAGAAATGCTCATATAAACAATACTGAGGCTCTATCTTACTCTAGAAAGAATGACTATTATTTTATTTGATTTTTATTTTTTCCCTTTTGGTACCAGGGATTGAACTCACGACCTCATGCTTGCCAGGCAGATGCTTAAGCTGCTGAGCTAAATCCCAGGCCCTGAATGACTATTACTGAAAACTCAAAAAACAATGAGTGGTAGGAATTACCAATCATTCCTGTTGCTAGGAATGTTAATTAGTACAACCAGTATGCAAATCAGTATGGAGCTCTCCGAAAAAATTAAAACTAAAAATTCATTCAACCCAGCTATTCCCTTTCTAGGTATCTTCCTTAAAAAGTTAAAACATTGGGGCTGGGGGTTTAGCTCAGCGGCATAAGCGCCTGCCTTGCAAGCAGGCAGTCGTGAGTTCGATCCCCGGTACTGATAAAAAGGGAAAAGGAAAAAGACAAAAAAAAAAAAAAAAAAAGTTAAAACATTATATTCTAGTGACACATGCATACTCATGCTTAGAGCAGCACAACTCATATGTAACAGCTGTAACTTGGAAACCATTTATATTGCCACCAACAGACGAATGGATTAAAAAACATATTATACACAATGGAATACAATTCAGCTGAAAAAAGGTAAATTCAAGTCATATTTAGGAAAATGGATGCACTTTGAGACCATAATGCTAAGTGAAATAAATCAGAAACTGTTAAATATTACATGGTTTTGCTTACATGAAAAACCCAAAGTATAAATAATTTAAAAAGCAAAATAAAAGATGGATGATAAAAAAGAATAATTGCTAATTTGTTTCTTCAGAGTTGCCAAAATAAAAATTAGTTTAGACATGTTGAAATGTTTCCTAATGATGGGATGAAACATATGGCTGAAGTACAAATGGTCTCTAAAATTTGGCTGGGAATTTAGCTCAGTGGTACAAGTGCTTGCCTGGCAGGCGCAGGGTCATGAGTTCGATCCCCAGCACCAAAATAAATAAATAAAAATTGTACCTTTTTAAAAGAAAAAATTATACATGAAAATTTAATCATAAAATCATTAATCCAACCAAAGCTCAACTTTGAAAACATTCCTGAGAATCATGAAGAACATTTAAGTGTCATAAAATAATACCTTCTACAGAGAAAATTTCAGATTAAGTAAATAATGCTTGCTGCTCAAAAATTCTGAGAAAAAATAGAAAACTACAAAGTTAAAATCACTTATAAATCCTTAAATATAATATTTTGGCAGCCAATTCTGCAACTTACTATGGTTTGGTCTAGAGTTTTCAATTTTATGACTGTGGAAGTGTGCTCAATCATGCATTTTTCACTTTCAGTATAGTTTAATAAATTACATAAGAGATGTGACATTATTATGTAATAGGGTTTGTGTTAAGAGTTTTATTTTTTGTCTTTTTGAGACACGGTCTCACTATGCAGTTTAGGCTGGCCTTGGGCTCACTTTGTAGCCCAGGCTGGTCTCGAGCTTTCAACAATCCTCCTGCCTCAGTCTACTGAGTGCTAGGATTACAGGACTGCACCACTATGCCTGGCTGTGTTAGATTATTTTGCTCAACTGTAGTTAATGTGCGTGTTCAGATTGGTGATGCTAAGGTCTCATGTTTAGTGGTTAAGTATATTAAATATTTTCAACATAAGGGTTTATTGGGATATAACCTAATCATAAATTAAGGAGCATCTATAACGCTACCTTTTCTTACATAATGACCACCCTTTATCACTGGACACTTATTAGCTGTTTTTGGTTTTTTACTATTATGAGCAATGCTTGGATGATATCCTTGTGTACATCACATTATGCCAATACCTTTTTTAGAGCTGTGTATACATCCATCTCCACTTGCATCACAAATAAGTTTGATGAACCAATGAGTTGTTTCATGACGCTTATACTGGAAACAAAAAAACAAGAGTGAGCCTGTCTTCTTGTATAGGCTCACAAGAATTCTGGTGACACTAAATACATTTTTTTCCAAATGAAAATGTGAAATTAAAAATGACAACAGTTTTTTGTCCAAGGCAATGAGTCTTAGTTATTAATATTTTGGAAATCAGCAATACTTTTAATTCAGAAAGTATGATGTGAAAGGTCTGTTAGCACACTGATAGGCAATCGACATGCTCTGATCTATCAATCTAAGCAAGGTCCACTAATGTAACTTTAACATGTGCCATGAGTGGCAGCCTTCTGTGGGCCACACTGCATACACTTCTGTGTCAAAACAACAACAAACAAAAAAACCTCAAAAACAAAACAAAATACAAAAAAAGACACATCAAAATTCACTAAAACAGCTTTATTTTAAAAATAATCTATGTGCCCACTTCAGCATATATACTAATCTTTCATCTCTAAAAGAACTGATTAGTTATAAAACATTTTTATTACTATTAAAAACAGTAAGATCAAGAAATATGTTTTAGCTTAAGAGTGGGAATGATACCATCAAGGATTTTTCTTCTTCCTTTATTTTAAAAAGGAAGAACTCTGGGTCTCTTGTTTGTTGTGTGTGTGTGTTTCCCACTGCTGGGGAGTGAACCAAGGGCTGGCCTGCACACTGAGCTACAGCCTCAGCACTTCAAGTTTTTTTTAAATTTTGAGACAAGGTTTCACTAAGTTGTTGTTCAGGCTGGGACAGAACTCTTGATCCTCTTGCTTCAGTCTTCCGAAGCGCTGGGATTACAGGCATGTGGCACTTGTGAATTTTTAAGACTACTCCTATTATCAGGTTTTTTTTCCCCCCTAGTGCTGGGGATTGAACCTGAAGCCACTCCACCGAGCTTTGTCCCCAGCACCATTTTTATTTTGAGACAAGGTCTCACTAAATTACTAAAATGCCCGGACTAAGCTTAGACTTGCAATTGTCCCTCAGCCTAGGTTACTTTTGAAAAAACTCGGTGGGAAATTATGACCATGTGTGGTGGTGCATACTTTAATCCCAGCTCTCTGAAGGCTGAGACAAGAGAACTACAAGTTTTATCCCAACCTGGCAACTCAGGTGTGAGGATGTAGTTTACTACAAAGGTCCTCAGTCCAATACCAAATATCACTACTAACACCACCAAAAAAAAAGAAGGTAAGAAAGAAAAGGAACAAGTGTTACTTTCAAGACAAACATGCTACAGGAAAACAAAACAAAACATAAGGCAGGGATTTGTTTATATTTTTCAAACTTCTCTATTGCAATACTTCTGAAGACAGAGAAATGAAAAGAGTCCAACCACCTTCAAGGCAATCGAATCATTAAAAAAAAAAACCAAGCTAGGTGTGGTGGTGTACATTTGTAATCCCAGCGCTCTGAAGGCTGAGGCAGGAGGACTGCCGTGAGTTTAAGGCCAGCTAAGGTTACATAGCTAGTTCAAGGCCAACTTGAAGTGCAAAATTAGACCCAGTCTCAGAAAACAGAACAGAACAAAAAATTATAAACTATTTTACATTGAGAATGAAGAGAAATGAGTATTTTACTCCATAATGTATTTAAACATAAAAATGTGTACCTCTCTAATATCCTTCTCACTATACAAACAATGAAATTGATAGGAAACAGTGTAAGTTAAATCTTTGGTTTTATACATTCCCTTCAAAATGCCACATACTCCTGATGTTTGTACCCTATAGTCTTCAAAGGTTCATTTCCACTGAAAGTTTCTCAGATCCATCTCAAATCTGTTTCATTACTCCAAAAATCTCCTTGACAGCAGAAAGCATGACACAATCACCTCTGCAGAAGTGAGGTAGCACTTGAAACTTAAATTTTATAACAGCAATACATTTGTCTGCTAAAATTGATTAAAACAATAGTTATAATTTTATCATTTGCAACCAAGAAACTTATGCTGTGTTTCTTCGCTTTATGGTTATAGTTCACAGTATCTTTCATTAAATTGTGTACTTTTCATGTTCTACAAAAATAACTTGCATATTTTACCAAATGAAAAATGTTATTTTAGGATAATTAATTATAAAGTTATTTAAAATTCAAATACCTGAGCTCTTTAAAAAGTTCAACATTCTGATGAGTCATCAAATTGTTTAGAAGCCATTCAAGGCACCTGAAATTATAACATGTAATTATTATATTATCTATTATACAGTTTGAATTTATTAATAAGAAGATGGCATTAATCTTGCTATGACATGCTCAAAATTTTAGCATAATCTGAAATTTAGTATTGTTTTTGTCAGTCATTATTAAGGGAATACTGCCTTTATATTAATAAGATCATTTCTAATAAAGCAACCACTATTCAAGTTTGTGTTAAATGGTTTATGAGGGGGCTTACATATTTCTATATTTAAAATTTGAAAATAAATTCATTACTTAATAGATTAAAAATTGCCCGTAGTTACATAGGTAAAATGTCTTTCTATACCTTTTTTTTTTTCCTTCATTACTGGAAATTGAACCCAGATCCTGCACACTGAGCTACATCCCCATCCCTTTTTAATTTTTTTTTTTTTTTAATCGGTACCAGGGATTGAACTCATGACTGCGCACCTGCGAGGCAGGCGCTTATGCTGCTCAGCTAAATCCCCAGCCCCATAATTTCTGTATATAGAGACAGTCTCACTAAGTGGCCCAGGATGGGCTCAAACTTGCAACTCTCTTGCCTCAGCCTCCTAGAGTGCTGGGTTTACAGGTGTACATTAAACCTACTCTTATGCACAACCCTTCTTTGGTCATTTACAAAAACAAAATTTCTGAGGATTTTATTAATTAGTTCAAAATCAAAAAAGAGGATTTTTAAATAATAAAATCTTGCCCCCATGTTCTTTTTTCTCCTAATTCTTTCTATCTTATAGTTATACATTCTTTTAAGAAATCAAAGCAACCAAATTCACAGAAGTGGGATGGGAAGAAAAATAAGAAAGGGTAACTCACTTTTTCTTTACAGAATCTAATCCATAGGTCCCTGCGGATGTGTAATAGTCACACACAGTTTTCACATTAATTGTTTCCTTCATTGTCTCACCACACTGTTGTATTAAACCATCCTGTAAATATAAATAAGCACTGGAAAGGCCCATTTCATTTAGGCAAAATTAGCTCTGATATGTGCTTTTACATATTAAAAAGGAAAAAGAGGAAGAAACAAAGAAAACTGATTAAGCCCAGCAATCCTAAGGGTTTTTTTTTTTTTTTAATAAATCCAATAAAAATCTGCGAAAAAATCTAGCAAATATTCAACTAAATGCTAATAATTGGAAAATGGACTTTTTTGTGGAGTATGAATATCACTATTCTCTGTATTTTTTATTTTTCCCACCTCTGGGACTTTTGCAAATTTCTTTGGTAGCAATATCAGTTAATCCAGTGATGAGTTTCATAAATGACATGAATTTGCATTATTCATAATGAGATGCCCCTAAAACAAGTACATTATAGTTCTAAACAACTTATATTTTAATCTAAATTGATTACATAGGCTTCAAATAAACTACTTTTGTATGAAACAATACTGTTACTTTTCATTGCAACTTCTGAAATACCATGTGAGCATACTATAAGTTAGTGAATTATAAAAATAAGGCAGAAACCAGACATGGAATGTTAAAACCAAAGTTAGAAAATAAAGTATACTTATTTGAAATTAAATATTGAAAGAGTGAAAGTATTTTAATCAAAATCTCTGCAAAGCACAGTTAGCAAGCTATTAATTAGTATTTCAAATAAATCAGTATGTTAATTGTAGATAAAGATAAATACTGATTAAAATAAAACAATAACTCCACTGGTTTTTAAACTTACCTGAAAGTTATTCTAGGGTTTTCCCATTTCCTGTATAACATTTCTTCAGACACCATATCCAGTGAATTATCCTTCCTTAATTTCTCAGGTATCTACTTTTTCTCCATGTTTATTTATACTACCTTAACTTAGCCCTCACTTGGATCACTACAACAGGTTTTTGTCTCTAATCCTGTACTCCTTTTTCTTTCAAGTTATTGTCCATAGTGTTGATTGTGAAGTATTCTTTCTGAAATGTAACTTTTGTCTTTCCTCTGATTAAAGCAATCTAACGTCTTGTACATGTATAGTCTACACTTCTTAGTAACGTGTAGAGCAGCAGTGGTGAACGTAGAGCGTGCGTGCCACGGCGAGCTGTGTGTAACGCTAAAGCTTTAAAAAGTTTGCCGTCACTGTAAAGAGGAAATTTTATGATCTGTCTTCTGCCTCTCTCCATACATATAATGTTATCATACCTATACTATTGGATAGCACTTATTTTACCTTTGGGGTCATAAAACAACTCTCCTCATTCCCCTTTCCCAAATATACTATCCTGTAAGCTCCTTTAATATAAGAATTGTTTTTTGAAAAATTCACAGGTAAAGGTTGTACATATTTAGAAACTACATCTTAACTTTCCTTTGGTTCTCTAGGACTAGTTTGACATAATATAATTCTGTTGAATGAATAAATCTGTCATTCTATTAGAGTAAAATGCAAACATATAGTACACACAAAGTTATGAGAAAGTTTACACAGTAGCATTTGATTTTTTTTGAACTCATGAACTAAATTAGTAATCATAAACTACCTAACAGTCAAGAGTAATAATTAACAGAAATTTACAAATGAATTTAAACATTTTCTAATTATAGTTATATTAAGCTGCACACAAACAGCTTGCATTTAATGTACCCAGACATCATGACCTCCTAAGTAATAAATTACTTTTGGTTTAGAATTTAAAATGATTTATAGTACCAAGGATGAAGCTCAGCAGCACAAGTGCCTGCCTGGCAAGTGCAAGGTCCTGAGTTCAATCCCATGATAACAAATAAATAAATAAAACGATTTATAAATGTTTTTTTGGTCTTTTTCATTTTTATCGGTACTGGGGATCGAACTCACAACCGCCTGCTTGCAAGGCAGGAGCTTATGCCGCTGAGCTAAATCCCCAGCCCACGATTCATAAATAAATGGCATTTATAAAGGCCAGGCGTTTAGCTCAGTGGCACAAGTGCCTGCCTAGCAAGTATAAGATCATGAGTTCGATCTCCAGTAACCCCCCAAAGAAGGCATTTATGCATTCCATTTTTATCTTAAAAACTAAGCTTTATTTTTGGTTTTGGAAGAGATACTAACAAAGACACTGTTACAGTGTTTTTTGAATAACGTGATACCTACCAACTGCAGCATACAGGCTGCTGCCAAAATGGCAGTGACTCGACTGGGCTTTATTAGGACATCATCTCGATACAGCGACCCAAAAGCAACTTGCAGTGCTGCAAGCAAAATACACATGTATAAAGAAATAACAGCAATTACACAGATAAGATTGCTGCAAAAATAACAATAATTGTCTTTACAAAGACATCTGTCTAAATCTGGTATGTACATAAAAGGGTAAGAGAAATGTCACTACTGAAATGGTAATAGCTACTGATTGATGATGTTAGTAACTGTGTTGTAAATTTCTGTTTATACTACCAAAGCTAGTTGCATTCTTCTACATTAAGTCCCAGTAGTAGTTAGGATCACAACTCACAAACCCTTGGAAGAAGTTTTATAAGACAGCCCCAAGTAAAGCAATCATCAAGTCCAAGTGTACAGATTCAATGATAAACTTAATTCTGCCTCTTCTGTGCTTTGCCACTGGGGAGTAATGCAGCACACAGCTACAGATCTGTCTATGCCACGCTCACCCACGGCATCCTCCCTAGCCCTACTCCCCCAACACCCTGTCCTGTAGCTCCCTAAGCCTGGCCATCCTCCTCTCCGCTGCCCTCTCAACAATGTCCTGCATCATCTTATACACTCAAGTTTTCTCTGTGTCTGTGTAGAGGACACTGACCCCTATTAAGGAGGGGAGCAGAAGTACCAAATTAGGAACAGGGACAGCTAGCTGATGGTAGAGTCACTAACTGCTTGGAGATCCAAAACAAGTCCCATGCTTGCTCTGAGTCTCAGTAATCTAAAATAACATCACCTACATGACTCATTCCTTTTTATTTGGATTTATTAATTTTCTTAAAAAACTACATAATTTTAATAAATGGTATTTTCCCTTCCTTCCTCCTACAACCACATTCTGGGAAGACACTGACAAAGATAAGTAAATAGATTGCTAAAGCCCATATGAATAAAGAATAGGCTGATGAAGAACAGAACCGATAGGCCTGGGTGTAAATTAATATAAAATTGTCACCTTCAGGCGTTAAATGAAGCTTTATCCCTAATCAATGAAGTTAGACAAAAATATGTTCTATCAAAAGAATAAAAAGGGTGATCTTTAGGATTTTTCCATAAAAGGAGATAGTACCTTCTACATCAATATTCTGGTCAGGAATCTCCAGTTCAATAACATTCATGCTGGATTCTTTCCAAGAACCACTGAACATACTAGAGAAGTAGCCTGACTTAAGGAAAAAAAAACACCAATGATTATCCAGTACTTTTGTCTCCTGAGTTATTTTCCTCTCATTTCCAAGTCTAAGCAACTATTCTATCAAAACTGATTTACCATATTATTTCAAGAGAAAAGGAGTTATTAAATATGTGTATAGGAAAAAAGATATTAAGACAAGTTTATTATTACATGTATTAAAACACATTTAGTTATTATAACAAAAAATAAAGCAAATTCTATTACTATCTAAACTGAATTCTCCCATTACTATTTGAACCTGATTAGCTTTTTATTTAAACAATTTCTGAGTATACTATATATGTTTTCCTTCTCAAAGAAGTTCTAAGTTTAAATTCAGAAACTATATGATATAGTTAAGTACCTCTTACAACAGAGTGGATGCACAACCATGTACTGAGGAGAAAAAGGAACCAAAAGTCCTCAAGCTGCTAAATCCTTACTGTACCTCAGTAAGACTTCCAAGTCACCACTAAAAGGACACTCCCCACAGAAATCAGGAGAAACTCAGATTTGGTTTTTTTCTAGTCATCTACGGCCATACCACCTGGAGCGTACCTGATCTCGTCTGGTATCAGAATTTTAGGAAAGGTTCTAGAATAGATGATTTCTTTAGTTACTTCCTAGACAGGGTCTCTCATAATTAGAATTACAGTACTGTAGAATGGATCAAATATTAACAAATTTATTTTTAAAATGTTACTGAGTATTATGGTCACCCTTTTGTATCAGTAGCAGAATTGGGTCCAGGACTCCCCTCAGACACCACAATTGGCAGATTCTCGTTTCTTTCTTTCTTTTTTTTTGTTTTTTTGGCATCAGGGATTGAACTTACGACCTTGCACTTCCCAGGCAGGTGCTTAAGCCACTGAGCTAAATCCCTGGCCCCAGACGCTCATTTATATTTGCACATAACTTATACATATTTTCTTATATACTTTAAGTCATTTGAAGATTTATAATACCTAATATAATGAAAATGTGACATAAATCAATGGCTATACTCTAAGAGGATAATGAGAAAAAAAAGCCTGTACATCTTTAGTGTAGATGCAATTTTCTTTTTTCTGAGTATTTTTAATCCATGATTGGTTCCACCTGTAGGTATGAACCCATGGAGATGGACAGCAAACTGTACAGAGAAGGCCCTACGAGCATATGAGAAAACAAAAAATATTTCTGTCCTTAGAAGGCTTATATTGCAGCATGTGACTTGAACTAAAATCAATTGTTTCCATGAGAGGTAAAGTGGTTGTTTTTTGTTTTTATTTTATTATTTATATTTTTGTGGTACTGGGTATTGAATGCAGGAGTGCTTCACCACAGAGCTATGTCCCCAATCCTTTTTATGGGTTTTTTTGTTTTAAGACAAGGACTTGCTAAATTGTCCAGGCTGGCCTCTAACTTGTGATACTCCTGCCTTAGCCTCCCAAGTACCTGGGATTATAAGCATTTGCCACTGTGCTCAGCAAGAGACAAAGTTTTAACAGAGACATTCTGACCCTTAAGTTAATAAAACTGAGAATCTTTTTCTGTGATTTAAAAGGAAGACATGGACCATATCCATATGTTAATACCAATAATCTGATGTATTCTCTAGACTATACACATTCTTTAAGTTAAACTTGTTTAAAGAATAAAAAAAATGATTAAAATGAGAGAGAAAAAACTCCTTTTCAAATTTTTTCCTGAAAAATCCTATACTATAAAGTTTTGATTTTTTTTTTTTTTTTCCTTTTTATCCGTACCGGGGATCGAACTCATGACTGCCTGCTTGCAAGGCAGGTGCTTATGCCACTGAGCTAAATCCCCATTCTCAAAGTTTTTATTTTTTGAGACAAGGCCTCACCATGTACCAGGTTGGCCTCACACTCAAGCGATTCTCCTGCCTCAGCCTTCTGAGTGCTAGAATTATAAGTATGTGCCACTACATCTGCTTACATTGTCTTAATTATATAATTATTCTCAAATAATGACATCCACAGGACTAGAACTGTTCACTGTTTTATTTCCAGTTCTTAAAACAATGCCTAGCACATAGGAGAGAAAAAATGAATACAGTATTTGAATCATTAGGGCAAGAATTTTATTCTATTTTGAAATCTGAATCTTTTAAATGGGTAGCAGGAAAATTTTCAGCACAAAAGTCAAATAAGTGTATCAGTTGTTTTAGTCAATATTTGTGGTCTTTAACGTAACAGGATTTTCTGGGAGAAAAGGAAAAATGTCAAGAACTTTCTATTCACAGTTAACCTCAAGTATGAAGCAACATCTTAGATATGAATTTATTCAACATGAATAATCATCAACAAAAAAATTTAGCAGTCTTAAATGTTAAGGTTCAAACATTTTCCCCCAACTTCCCCATTTCATAAATAGAAAGCACAAAATAAGCACCTTATTCAAGTAATGACAAAGAGGTAATGATGGGCTAGTATGATTAAAAAAAAACTTCAAAATTTATTTTCTATCTAAATTTAACTTTTATTAATACTTGCCTGTTTCTAATAAAAGACTTTTTATTAGGTTCACGCAAAAATTACTGAGCAAGGCAATGAGAAAAACATGACTTTAATGCGTTAATTTTTTAAAAAAAATAATTACTTGATCAGTCAACAAAAGAATAAAATACTTACTTGACATAAATATATTTTATGTAAGCTCCACTCTTCTCCTAGAGCACAAATCTTTATATCACTATTTTCACCATTCAAAAACAATGTTTGATAAATATATTTGGATGTACTCTTTAACTTTTTCCTGTTAAAAGAAATGCAAAAGTTACATGTGAATACTGAAGGCTTTTCTAATTTTGCATACTAAAAATATTCATTTTGCTTAATTCCTATTAGAGTCAGCTTATACACTGTGTAAAAATATAAGGACAGAAATTCAAATTTTCTCATTCCAGGAGTACGTAAGGTAACAGTGGTTATCTCACAGGAGGGTTAAAAACTGATAGATGGGAGCAACATGGGAGGCAGACCTTCATATACCTTTGATACATTTTTGACTTTTGAGTTAATTACATATTCAATAAACTAAGACAGTAAGTCACCATGGTGGTTTTGCTTTTTTCCTTATTTAAAAACCAGCAAGGGCCAGGGATTTAGCTCAGCGGCATAAGCACGGGCCTTGCATGCACGTGGTCGTGAGTTCAATCCCTAGTACCAAAGGTAAAAAAAAAAAAAAAAAAAAAGATGAACAAATAAATAAAACCAGCACTATGGAAAAATTCAGTGTAACTATACATAATAATTATTATGTAAAATTACATATAATTATTATTACAATCTGCCATGTATTTAGAAAGTGAGTAAAATTTTTTTTACTCAAGTTAATTGTTAAAAAAGTTCATTTAATCTTTTTTCATTAACAAACTAAGCCAGTTAAAATTGGTTTAGAAACATTAACTCTTCCCCCAAGCAAAAGATTTACAGTCTTTTTTTAAAACTGGGGATCAAACTCATGATCTTGTACTTTTCAGGCAGGTGTTTATGCCACTAAGCTATTATCACTGGCCCTTTGATTTAAAGTCTTAAAGGTTCTCAAAGTTATCTTCAGGAGAGAAGCATAGGAGGGATCACTCGGAAGAGAGACGCTGTGCGCTCTGGACCTCCCACATAACTTTATCTAGAACAAATCATCTATTACACCCATACACCTATAGGATTTCTGCATAGGATATAATGAAAAACAAGAATCCATTTAAAAAATTTGGAAATCACAGAACAAGATGCTGCAGTAAGTAAGAAAAGAGTAGGCAAAAGCTGATCAATTTTTTAAATTTCTAGCCAATTGACACCTCTGCGAGTAGTTAAAAAAAACCTTTAATCTCTTTTTAGAGATGCCGGGCATGGTGGCCCACTCCTGTAATCCCAGCACTTGGGAGGCTGAGGCAGACGGATTGTGGCAAATTTGAAACCAGCCTGGGCTACAAAGTGAGCCCAAGGCTATCCTGAACCACAAGGCGAGACCCTGTCTCAAAAAAAACGAGAGATGCAGTAGTAACTATTTCAGATGGACTCTAACCAGTGTATTCAGTACCTCTTTGTAACATACATTAAAAATAATAACACACGTAATGTAGATATGGCTGAGTGAACCTACAGTTGCAGCCTCTCTGGAGGGCGGGGCAGGAAGACTGCTCACGCATGCGAGTTTGGAGCCAGTTTGGGCAACAAACCGAGACCTAGTCTCATTAAGCTGAAAAACAAATTAATAATAAACAGCACATACTTGGGGGCCATACAGTTCTGAGTTGGGGGGTTCTCCATAGCTCAGTTTTCCCAGTTATAAAAGGATATTATAATATGCAATTCACTGAGCTATTATTAGAAACAGGTGAGACAATGTAGTTTGTGGCTCTTGCTAGCAAAATGAGTACATGTTTTCTTCTCACCTCTGCCCAAATCACGTTAAAGAATAAAAACATAAAAAGAAATAAGTGCTCAACAGCAAATATATAAGACTAGGTCCATCACCTGATGAGAGACACTACAAGGGATGTAGAAATTAGAAACACTGGAATGAAGAAGAGCTGTGAAAAAGCCACAGCCCAAACTATGGACGGAGGTTAGATTCATGTGCCCTTCAGAATCCAGGGTCACAGGGAAACAAAAGGCAGACGCGACTGAAAAGCGGAGCAGGAAACAGGGAAACCTGCTTCCCTAATGGCCTCACTCAGGCTCTTAGAAACAGTACAGACACCTACGTAAAAAGACTCCAATGGCTTTTCTCCAAAGAAATAGAAGAAATCTACCAGAAAGATCTAAGGCTTCAGTGTAGGGGCTGGGCCTCTAGAGAAGGGAGTCCTTGTTTTAGCATTTTAGGAATCTATTCTGTTAGCTCCCAACCCATTTACCCTAAATCATGGTTCCCAAACCGTGAGTCAAAACACTTGCGGAAGGTTGGGGATGTGGCTCTGTGAACCCTTGCTTCGAATGTGCTAGGACCTGGGTTCCAACCCTAGCAACACAAGCATTTGCAATACCACAGCAAACCACAGAGCTATGTGGACTGTTTTGTTCGGCTCTGTTTTAAGACAAGGATTTGCTATGCAGTTCAGGCTGGCTTTGAACTTACAGGGCTACAAACCACAAACCCTAGCACATGTGGATTATTTTCAATCTGAAAGACACACAAAATCTTTCACAGTCAGGTGTGGTGGTGCATGCCTGTAACCCATGCCACCAGAGGATGAGGCAGGAGAATTACTGTGAGTTTGAGGCCAGCTTCGGCTACACAGTGAGACCTTGTTCCAAAAAAAAAAATCTTTCAGACAACATACTATCTTTAAATTGTCTGGATCATGAGGTTATTTTTTTTCCCATAATGGGTATCATGAAAAAAATTTACTGAGATACTAAGGGTGTTACAAACACAAGGTTTAGGAATCTCTGTTCTAAAACAAAGTGTACCCCAACCATATCCTATTTATGCAATCTTCCTACTCAAATAACCAGTCACTCATTCGTAAATATGAGAGGACAATAAAGTATCACTCAAACCTAGGAAAATTAGGAGGGTGGGAAGAACATGGAGGAGGGATTCAGAGAGAGGGAGGGATGAAGGGAGGGAGAAGAACGCAAGAGAAAGACAGATACATAAAACAGAGAGGGATGGAGGGAGGAAGAGATAGGCTAAGAGACACAGAGGGAAGAAAACTGACCCCAGCCCTGAGAAAATATATACTGTAATTTGGGATAAAGAAAGTTTAAAACCTCTCTCATTCATATACCTAGAGAATTCAGATTATTACATTTCTAAAATAGTAACATAATATAATAGAGGAAACTCAGAAAAAGAGCTCTTTGAGGCTAGTATATGAATCTCTAGATTATAAGATTGCCAAGGTCATTAAAAGATTCATACTTAGGTATATTCTAGTTCAATTCAAAAGTACCAAAGAAAAAACTTTGAAAAGTTTCAGAGAGGGGGATAAAGTCACCTAGAAGAAAATTAAGACCAGGATCAAATCTCCCATCCATGCAATAGGCCAGAAATCAAGAAACAATATCATCAATAATATGAAAAGTTATTATAGAGTTCCATATTCAGTCAAAGGATGAATAAAATTAGACACTAAATTTATATTTAGATTCTGTGTGCACAAATTGCCCTTTTTTGTACTGTTTCATGACAAAATATTTGAAGATGTAGTTCACTAATATAAATGAGAAAGAAGATATAGGCCAGAGAAAAAAGTAGATCCAATCTTAGACATGAAATGAAATAAGTCCCAGGATAAAAACAAATCCAGATGGGAAAAGGAAGCTGGAGGGGCCCTACAGGAAGGTCCAGGGTTTGGAGGAGATGGATTCTCTCCAAGTGTATTTCAAAAGATAGAAAAGAAAAGTCTGAAGATCGAAGGAATACTCTTGTCTGTGGAGAAGAAAAGGACGAAACTCTAGGACAATTTAAAAAAATGGTACTGGACAAGTAAAACACAAATGAAAATGGACCAACTGTAAGCTCTTGATGGGATTTAAGAAAAGTGTCTGCCTAATTATAAGGTTAGAAAATTTCTCCCTTTGAACAATCAAGAGATTGCAATGTTGGATCCATTAAGTATGATTTATAATTTTAGCATACTCGCTGACTCTGCAGTGAACAATCTTTATAGTTATAATAAATACTAGTTTCAATTTTTAGGGCCAATCTATGAACAAAATACTGAAGATATGGTTGCAAAATAGTGAGCTTCACAAGTTCTGTTAAGTAACAAACATACAATTAACAAAAGGTATGAAGTGGAAAACAAGCCTAGAAGCTAAAGCTTTTCATGAAGCATCTGGTTCAGGTGTGAAAGCATAACAGATAATCTCAGGAAGTGTATCAGTGTCAACAAACAAAATTACAGGGCTATTTTCTTATACCCTTCAGCTATAGTGGGCTGAGTAAGTCAGGATCTCCCACTAGTACACAAGTACTATATTCTGACATGCATTTTCCAATAAAGTTTTGCTTTAAACTTTGCATTCCAGCTCGCCAGTTGTAATTCCAGGGTTGGCAAATCTTTCTGTGTAGATCTAGGTCATTAGTGGTGAACCTATAGCATGAGTGCCCGCAGCAGGCACACAGTCCTCTCTTGCCCAAGCCAAGCCTTGACAAATAATCGCATGCATACAATGGCAAAGACGACATTAATTGTGGGGAAAAAAAAAAAATCACATCAAATGCAAACCTTTACCTTTTAATAAAAAGTTGTACATAACATTAAGAGCTCTGCTATTGTGTTTCCTTTTAAGACAGAGGATCCTAACCTGAGGTTTTTTTTCCCCCAAACTAAACCTCAATATTCAAGTTTAATTGCATGTTGGCAATAAATAAATGGGTTTTGGGTTGCAATTTGGGTACTCCTCTAAAAGGTTCACCACCACTGGTCTAGACAGTAAGTATCTTCAGTTAATGGGACCCAGAAGGCCTCCAAGCAATTTTGTTTGCATCCCTTGGGCAGTGTCTTGCTCGCCAGCCGTAGATCTACCACATTTAGGGAACCACCTAAATGGCTATAACCGGAACTCCTGTAATAACATGTGAATCTAAGGTTGAGAACGGAGAGCGCAATTCCAGATCTGAACGTTGGATATTTTGCCTAAGCTCTAAATGCAGTAACTGCATATATTTTCTATTCTGTGTTTTTTAAAGAGCTTTTCTTACCTAGGTGTTTTGCCATTAACAATTCCCTAATCAATAATGCTTACATTAAACTTTAACTATTCAAATTACTGTGCTGTTTCTCTGTCAAAAAGGCCCTGACACATATTTCAGTAATTAAATGAAACATATGTAGCCTAAACGCTAAACAAAAGGTAGAGATGGTCCTATTGCATTAAAAAAACACAAAACTCAACTACGTGCTGCCTATACGATACCTACTTACATTCCAGGCACTGTGTTCATTCTTAAATTTGTGTTAACTCTATAAGACAGTATTAATATATCCATTTATATGTGAAGAAAAGGATACCTAGTGCAAAATTCAGATAAGAATTCAATCTGAGCTCTTAAAACTATGCTTCTGACTCTAATAAAAAGATTATTGAAAAATATTCACCGTAAGGATCCATTTTTGTAAATAAACACAAGCATTCACGCATAAAAGTGGTATGAAAGCTTTTGTAAACCAAACTATTAAGTTTTACCAGTAACAGTTAAGTGCTAGCTCTACCATTGAACTACATTCTCAGCGCCCATATTTTTAAATATATAACACCTGTGAAAATCCCACCCCTGACTCTAACCTTTAAAAAAAAAAAATCACAGAATAACCAGATTGTTTGTGAAAATATATTCTACTGTAAGTTACCTTCTAGTTCATAATTATTTTGTTCTTCAACACCCTCCCCAAAACACAATGGTTAAGCAACGATTTAAACTGCTACAGACTTTGGAAGACCGTGTTCCTAGTAGGAACGAATGCACATTATTGATAAACTTCACCTTTACAGTTAAGAACACCTGTGGGTGATTATTTCCCCTTCACCCCGTGGGCGACAACAAAGGTGTCCATCTCACCTACTATACACACCTCTCTACTATTTAAGGCAACCCGATGAAAAACAATTTATTCTGTGGTCACCCACACACTCAAGAGAGCGAAGGTGTACCGAGCCAGGCCAGCCGATCAGTCGTCTCCAGGCATCAAAGAGACTCAAGCTTGGCGTTTCTCGGCGTCACCTGGGAACTACAGCAACACCGCGGCGGCGTCTGCGGTTTACGAGGCACAGCACGGGTGTCTCCCGGAGCCGCCCCTCATCGGGCCAACTCCCTCAGCTACTCCGTCAAGGTTACGTCCGCTCCTTAAGGCCGGGGCGCCGGCTCGTCCCCGGCCCAACAGGTGCAGTCGCCGGTCAGCCCGGGAGCGTCCCCTCGCCTACCTTCGAGGGGTGTTGAGGAGGCGCTGCCGCTCGTCGCCTTCTTCCTCATCTTCGTCTGTTTCCGACTCGGGGTGACAGAGGCATAAGGTCCCGCTGCTCCGCTTGCGTTTGCGGCTGCCGGGGCAGAAACAGAAGCCGGGGCCGGCCGCGTCGCCGCCAGCCTCAGGCCTCCGGGCTGAGCCCCGAACCCCGGGACCCCGCTCCTGCGGAGGACGGGCTCGCCCGGGGTGGCGCAGCACTTTGCTGCTCAGCGACCCCATTGGACCTGGCTCCCCGGAACTTCAGGGAGCACACTTCAGAGAACCCAGAAAGGGTCCCCCGCCATAGCTCGTCCGCCTCCGACCCGCCTTCATCCAGGTGACTACACAGCCACCTTCCCACGCGCAGCCACAACCGTTGCAGCGGATGCTCCGGCGTCCATCCTCCGCCCCGCCCGCCGCGTCTAGCCGTGCGGCCGCGCGCAGACCGCAGGGCCACGCCTTCTAGCTTTCGCCACAAAGTGCGGGCCTCTAGGCGCCTGCGCGCGGCGAGCCTCCGGAAGGGGCGTGTCCGAGGGCGGGGCCTGCGCAGATCCGGGCTGGTGTCTTCCGGTGGCCCAGCCTCGCGAAGCTTCCCTGCGCTAGCGGGCTGATGCGAGTTTGGAAGCGGTCTTGGGTTAGCGGGGAAGAACCTCCTTGTGTAGGGCGAGACTTGGAGGTCCAGGTCATTCATCCTTTCTATAAAGGTCCCTAAGCTCCATATGCTTATGGGGTGCTAGCCAAGGGACAAAAACGTGCTCATCAGGCTCTTTCTTAAAGGCTCTCCCACGTGATGGGCCCTGCGCCGCGGCTTTGGCGCTGGCTTCATGTTTGAGGACTTAGAAGAGCTCTAGGTTTCGACGTTCCTCCTCTGCTACAGACATGAATCCTTAGCGTTAATGGCGAACGTTCCCTGCACCCTTTTTCTTTCCTCCCAGCACCAGCGGAACCTCAATAGGAGCTGGACTCTAGGGTTTCAAGTGTCTTTAGGGAAGAACTAGCAGAATTCATAGGTCTCGGGTAGCATCCCTTGCTATAGACTTGGCCTGCTATTAGTCCCTGACTCCATAAAATGTTTATGATATTTCACATGAAGTAACAGGAACACCAAGGGATCCTTTCAAGGGTTGAAGTGTTTTTACTCGTTTTGACTTGTCAGATTTTTTTTTTTTTTTTTTTGTATCAGAGATTGCACTTGCCAGGCAGGTGCTTATGCCACTGAGCTAAATCCCTAGACCCTATTCATTTTGACTTATTCTTCCCCACCTTTACTGAGGTATGATTGATGATTTCTTCTTTTTAAATAGAGCAATAGAAATATCATGTAGCCTGCTGTGGCACCTGCCCTCCGTCTCCATCTGTCTGCCTTCCCAGTGGTGATGGGTGTCTTGAGAATGGTGTGTATCATTCCAGGCATGCCCTTATATGCACATCCGTATGCAACGTCGTTCCTTTTGCACACTTAAACATATAATTAAATGGAATTATACCATACCTCTCATTTTGAACCTTTCTCCTCTCAAAACTATACGTTTGGTTAAATCTTTAAATTTTTGTTGTTGTATGACTGACCCATAATTTATCCACTCTTACTGAGGGAGTGTTTTTTCACTTTAATGGTCTTATGGAGTAAATACAAACATGTGCAAAAGATTCAACTAGCAGATCAGAAATGGATTTGCTAAGCAATTGTACCAGTCATTGCTAAATTGCACTCAGAATTGATGGCATCAACACACCAATTTATATTTTCCATTGTCAATACATGTGCTTTGGGGCTACAATGAACTGGCATCAGATCCAGTCCTGAGAAATCTGAACTGAGAGAACCTAGCCAAGGTGGCCTGAGATGGAGAGGGGAGGCAGAGAATGATCGCTGCATGCAGATCAGCGGCATGCATAGAATTTGCATGTGTAGGTATTTCCCATAGAGCATGTGTGGGCCACCATGAGCTAGATAAAGTAAAATCATCTTAGATCCTGTACAAGAAGCCTGGGTGCAAGGGCAAATAGAATTCAGCATAGAAAACCTAAAGGCATCACCAGATTCAGAGGCTAAAGAACAACACTCCCCATACCAACAGAAAACCTAAAGGCATCACCAGATTCAGAGACTAAAGAACAACACTCCCCATACCAAAGGACCTGCAGGCCAGTGGCTCGCTGGTGATGGGACTGAAGGGAGAATTTAAAAGAATGCCCACAAGAAGCAGCTTTCAACATCTGCCAGGTGAGAGAGGCTTGACCTTCTACAGCAGGGTTAATAACGGGTCCTGCTCCCATTTGTTGCCATGTGTGATCATGGTGGCATAGAAAATGAAAGATTACTTGGAAACGAGACTTAAATCACTGAGGCGCCGAGCCCCTATCTCAACTAAGAGCACCCAGCATTAGGGAGACTCCCAGGAATAGCAGCAAAGCTCAGAACTCTCTGGCTTTTATTTAGAATATCAGTGTACATTTACTCCTCCGCCATATCCTCCACACTCAATCTTCCTCTGCTACAGCATAAGAAAGGTATGTTGTGGGGCAGGTGCAGGAAAGAAGAAAGCTTCAGTAGAGAAAAAAGGTAAGTCCACCATTTCCCTTTCCCCCAAAAACCAGCCTCCTAACTGGCAGTAAGCCAAAGCTGAGAAAGAGATGATGCCTCCACTGTAAATCAAGTTTGGAATTCTGAATGGATATATTGATCACAGAAGTGATATTACTTTACAGCCTTGAGGCTGCACAGCAGTACTTTTTTTAAAACCTAAGAGTATCTGAATTTACATTTTAAGCATAGGACAAGAATTAGGCTCACTGAATACATGTGCATTGAGAGAAAAAGAGGCTTACTTGTTTTAATATAGCAAACATGCCTTCAGTGTGGTTTTATCCTTTTTTCTAGAAATCTCTTACAAGTTTTAATAACTGCCATCTGTTTAAAATTTCAACCAAGCTATATATCATTTAAAGATAAAACACAATACACACACACACACACACACACACACACACACACACGCACGCACGCACGCACAAAACCTTACAATGCTTCCAAAGCCAAATCTAGTTGATTTGGAAATTCCATGGTCTTCCAAGTAGGTACCGAGATGGTAGTATTATTTCCTATAGTTAGATGGGATGGTTGAAGTATTTGCATAAGCAAATTTTCACTAATAGTTTCAGCACTTATAATTGACAAGAAGCACTAAATTGAAAAGTAGAGCAAATGATTATGTCAAAATATAATTGATATTATAAAGTGAACAAAGAAGGCAAGTATTCTAATCATAATAAAAATGGTCTTTATAAATTTTTTTTTCCTTTTTTGTCTCTGCCCTCTCCCTCCTTTCCTTCCTTTCCCTCCCCTCTTTCTTCTGTCTGTCTGTCTCTGGGTTGCTGAGAACCCAAGGCCTGGCACATGATAAACAGTGGGGTACACATCCTCAGCTCCAATATTTCTATATAATTTACTATACTATAAATGTTCTACAGTGTAGAACAGAAAGAATCATTCCTTTCCACAAAATAAGTTATTAGTTACTATCATTAAATAGCATTTAGTATATTTAAACATTAGTTCTGTAGCAGCAGACAAACATGACTACATGTTTTTTCTTACGTTGTAACTCCAAACAGAAATTGAGTATCACAGTTCCTTCAAAAATAGCTCCCATCAAACACATTCAGGATGAAAAATCTCCGAAGTGGAAAAGTGAGCCAGTCAACTAACTTGAAAGCCATCATTTTTTATTAAAATTATTTTTCCATGTTGTATACAAACTGAATTTTTTAATTACATCCAAGTACATTTTTAGAATGGTGATGGGGTTGAAAAGGCACAGTGTATATGAAAATTACTACAAATCAACAAAATAAAAAATTTTAAAAATATTAGTACAAAATATTTTAAGTCAAGCAAAATTCAGAACATTATCCTATTACCAGAATTATTGCATTTGAAGCTTATTTTTTTCCCCATTCCCTTTTAAACTAGATTAAGACATTAACCATAATATTCTGGAATGTTTCAGGACTTATGTTTGATAATCACACACATAGCTGCTTAACCAAACTTAAAATTTATTCTGTTCAGATGAATTGATTTTAGTACACTTTGACCTGAAGAAAATGATCTCAATGTCTGATGAGATAAAAACAGTCCTCCATACTGTCTTCCAAACTTCATAAGTGTCAGCTAACACTATAGACACAACCAAAATGAGATTTATGGATGCTTTCTGTCTACGAGGATACACAAATAGAAAATAGACGGCTATTCTTACTAACTGAATGTTCACAACTTCAAATAAAGAAATTATTAGTCACTTTAAAAGTAGGCTTAGGGAAGAAAATTATAACAATGTTTTAATCTTTCATTTAAAAATGCATTTTACTAAAAAAGAAATTATGAAATAATATATTCAATTTCTGTGACACAAATGAGGAAATAATCTTAAAAACAAGAAGTAGTTTCTAATTTTAAATTTTCATTTAGGTCTTATAAGCTTTGAAATGCAAGTACAGCTTTAAGGCATCAGAATGACTAATTGTAGATGATAATAATATACTCTAACCCTCCAAAGCAACTGTGGGTGTTTTAATTGGAAATAAGCATTCTGAGACAATGCTAATAGTAGTGTAGAAAAAATGAAGTTTAAAAACAAATTCAGAGTGCTGGGGACTTAACTCAGTGGTGTAAGTGCCTGTCTAGCAAGTACAAGGTTGTGAGTTCAATCCCCAATACCAAAAAAGAAAAAACAAATTCAGTGTGGAGGATCTTCCTGTCCTTCTGGGATCTTATTTTAATCATCTCCTCCACAGAGAGCGAGCAGTACCTTCCTGTAGTCTCCAGATGTGTCACCCTGGGGACGAGGGAAACAGACTTACAGTCAAATAAGCAAGTTTTACATAGAATACACAGTTCACAGCCATCTAGTTTAACTTTTGCAAGCTTGGCTGAATATTCCTCAGCTCTTTAAAAAACACAATCTGTTTGACTGTTTATTACAATCCTTTGGTCCTTTATTACAAACTTAACACACACTTGTTCAGTGTAGAAAATAAAGATAAAAAGAATAATAAGAATTACCCATAGTTCCATCACTTATATTATTGTTAACTTTTTTGGTATATGCATATTCTTCTAGGCCCTTGTCTATGTGTGTAGATACCTCTGTGATGACACCATAGTTCTCTTTTGTATCCTACCGTCCCCATACTGCCAAATCTCCCCACCTAGGGCTTTGCACACGTGAGACAAGTGCTCTACCATGAGCTACATTCCCTGCTTTTTTACCTTATAAAATAGCCTCAATATTTCGCTACTTTATTTAATATTCATCTACAATACACCCTCACCTTTCCCATTGTTGTATGTTATTTTCAATTTTTCCTTATGCTAAACACTGCTGCAATAAGCACACTGTAGCTGAGTTTTTGAGCATTTTCTTCATGATTTATTCTAAATAAATTTTCACTAAATGAGACTTACTGGATTAAAGATCGTATGTTTTCTTAAGCCTTTTGCTATGGGTTGTGGAGAGTCTTCCAGAAAGGCTCCATAATTTCTAAATGGAAATGTTTTTATGATCCAATAATAAATCTTTTTGTTCTTTTTGGTATGAGGGACTGAGCCCATGGCCTTGTGCATATCCTGAGCTATGCTCCCAGCCCAATAGATCAATTTTTTCTAGTCCTTTATGGGCATTAAAAAAGGCAGAATTTTTATCTATAGAGTTCAAAACTTAATAGTATCTGTTAAAATCAATCTAGATATATCCTTATTTGTACTTGGATGCATTGATCTGCCAAAGAATAAAAGGCGTTAAAGTTTCTTACTAGCATAGTATTTTGCGTCTTTTTTCTTTTGTAGTCTCAAGTTTCTCATTGATAATTGGATGTAACATGATCTGACACCCAAGCTTCAAGACAATGTAATCTTGTAAATTGTTGCCTTTATTAATATAAAGCGATTGCTTTCAGTAATGTTTTTTCTCCTTGAAAGTTTCTCTTTATTTATAGTGTGATCCCTGTTTTTTGTTTTATTCCTGTTTTTTTTTTTTAAAGCTTTTTACATGCCTCTAAATTTTAGTTATTCCTTTTTTGATGAGATGTGATTTGAGACAGGGTCTCACTTGTGCAGTTCAGGCTGGCCTTGAACTCACAGTGATCTTCCTGCCTCTGGCTCTGGATTGCTGGGATTACATGCGTGTGCCATCACACCCAGCAGTATTTAGTTATTCCTTATAAATTACATAAACTGGAATTTTATGTTTTTATCCAACCTGTGAGTTTATTTTTATTATTATAATTTAATTTTTATCTTTTGCCATTTTTCTGTTTATCCATGTTACGCTTCTGTTTCTTTTGACAATGCTTATTGAATAGGCAATGTAGTTTTTATTTTTCATTTTATTTTTATTTTTATATTTCGTTACAAATCAAAACCTGATGTGAAGTTTATTGTGCAACTCTAGCTTCGGAGGAAACCGTGTGGAAGGACAGAGCCTGGAAATACCTGAAGTACAGGACTATCTCTCTGGGGTGACAGATGCCAGGCAGGAGGGGACCAAAGTGCTCTAGGCTGAGCCCCATTTTTCACTCGTGCTTCCCCCTGGGCAGCATGGCAAGGCTGCTGTGACCCACCTTGATGAAAGAGTACAGAGACTTTCCATAGAGCCTCTTGAAGTTTTCTCGGATGTCCAGCATGTCAATCTCTGCTCGGGAAACCATCACTCTGATGAGGGTGCTGTCGTCGGTGCCCAAGCCCTGCTGAAGAAAATCGGATCCCTGTATAAGAGAGGCTGGCAGTTTCTCAGAGTGCTCTTGCCCTGTTTAGTAGGGCAAGATGACAAATGACTCTCCGGATGGTGTCTTTTCCTCCCCAACCTTGGAGGCCTGAGGAATATCTTGCTGTTTATCACAGGATTCCATGCTCTGCATGGCTTAACTTTTCTAACCCCTTATGTTCTGACCAGAGGACACTTCGGTGTCTTCTAGAAAGACACTTGGTACTGTCCAGCTTGCCTGCCTCACCCCCTTTCCATGTAAAGCTTCCCTGAAGCTCCAGCACAAATATACCAAGTTTCTGTTTTGTTTTATTGTTGGTGCTGGGAATTGAACAAAGGGTCTCAGATCATGTGCTCTACCACTGGGCTACACCTCCAGCCTCCCCCTCACCTTTTTTTTTTAAATTTTGGACTCCCCTCCCCCAAAACCAGAAAACAGATATTGGAAAAAAATAAAATTTTTTCTCTGGGTCCCTGTAATACTTGGATCCTCAACTACTATCTTACATTCTGTCTTCTTACTGGTGCTTGAACATGCTTGTTTGCCTAGAAGGCTAAATGTTATTTGAGAAGCAGGTCTACATTCTGATCTTTCCCACACCTCTTATGGTTCCCCTGCATGGGTGCTTGCAAATAGAATCCAAGTGAGAGGATGGGCTCAGGAGCTAGGCAGCCAGCGTTTGCATCCTTGCATCACTATTTTCCTCTCTGAGGATCTTGGGTAAGTTGTATATCCTTTCTATGCCTCAGTCTGTGCTTCTGTAAAATGGGGACTCATAATAGTATCTGCCTCATAGAACCGTTTAAGGATAAAATTAACCGGGGAGTGGAGACAGCCACACCCAAGCTTCTCTCCATGAGTCAGTGCCATTCTCCAACTGTTGGGGGAGAGAACCAGGTGTCACAAGGAAGTGATACTCACCTGGAAACCGTATCATTTTTATTGTTTTCTTGGGTTTGGTTTTATTTTCTTTTGTTTTGTTTGATTATGTTAAATCTGATGGCATGAACAGCTACTTAAAAGATAGCAAGACATATTATGGTAACCATTGTTTGTTTTGTTTTTGTGGGAGACAACTCCAGTGACTCTCCTTGAATGCAAAACAATTACTGCAGCTTTGATTGTTTGGAGATTTATTTCATTATACTGAGATGGAGAGCTGGCTATCGTATTTCCTTCTCTCTTCAATTGGCTCTAAGAATGGCAAGTAAGGCTAGCTGAGTTACTGGTGGTATGTAATCTCTAGAGCCAACAGATAGTCCTGTTTCCTCGAATAGTGTTCTCCATACTGTTCTCCGTGTAAAGGATATGAACACAGCAGGATGTTAGAGCCAATAGTTCCAGGAATGTCAACTGGGTAGAGTTTAAAGTAAAGAGGCTATGACTCCCCAGGGCACAAGAGTTTGCATATCAGAAACCGAAGCAACAGCCTCTCAAAACAATTCAGTTGCTACCTTAATTAGATTGTATGAAATGATCCTTCTGCACATCTTTTTTTTTTTTTTTTTTGGTCTTTTTCGTTTTTATCGGTACCGGGGATCGAACTCACAACTGCCTGCTTGCAAGGCAGGCGCTTATGCCGCTGAGCTAAATCCCTAGCCCCTCTTCTGCATATCTTTATCTCTGGAATTTGTAGAGATGCTTTTCTCCCCACCTGGCCAGCCAGCTCAAGTTACTTACATAATTCTGGCCATCCTCACTGTTACTCATCCCTGAGCCACTCCCCTTCTTCACAAGATAATACTGTACACAGTATTGGGGATTACAATAGTCTTGTTTTTTGTTTTGGTACCAGGGATCAAACTCGTGACCTTGTGCTTATCAGGCAAGCACTTAAAACCACTGAGCTAAATCCCTGGCCCATATGTTAACCATTTTGGATTTCCTATTAGCTTATTTTGAAATCCTTTATTGCATTCATTGTTTTGTTTTTATTCTTTCTACTCCATTCTGTTCTGCTTGATTTTTACTATGTCTGAAGGTATCTGTGGCTATTTTGAAGACAATAAAAGGCAGTATGGTAACTATTGCTGATTTCATACGGTTTTGAAGTCCTGTATCACTTATACTAGTTTATTTTGATTGGTTTGATTGTTTTATTTTCCTTGATTTTATCTTCTTTTAAAAAAAGAATAAAATTAATCCATACATATATAAAACATTAAGAAACGTGATCCACACATCATAAATACTTAACATCAATCAGTGAGTTGAGAGGATTGCAAATTCTAGCCAACAGTGGGCTAGTCAGCAAGCTAGTGAGATCTTGTCTCAAAATAAAAAAATTTGATGACAGGACTTGGATATAGCTCACTCAGTACAAAGGCCCTGAGTTCAATTCCTAGTAGGGTAAAAAATAAAAATTAACTTAGTATTATTATTAACAGTACTTAGTAAAGTAAATGGTGAAGTAAATTGGATATTTCAGCTGAAATCTGGGTGGGGGAGACAAGCAAACTAAGAAGGTAGACACAGATAAACCAAAGACATTCAGATGCTAAAAAACGAAGCCATTTACCTTCATAGATTTATAAAGCCTTTCAGCAAAATATGCAGATTTGTTCCTCATGCACTTTACTGTCAAGAAAAAAAAAAAGATTACAGGAGAAACCTCTGAGAAAAGTGACAGTTATTCTACAAAATATCAAGGAAAAACCAAAGTAACAAGAATATCTCTTGATAGCTTTGCCAGAAAAATTTTGGGCATGCTACATTTCATAATCATAAGCCACACTGTAGGCATTTTCTTGGGTGGAAAGTATTCCTAATTTCTCATGTTCCTACAGAAATAATTTATAAAAGATCATCCAAGCAAAAGGAGACATATAATTTCACAATAATTACTATGTCTGCCATGAGAGCAGTGATTCGTTCTAACCATTAGACTTGCAAGACGCAGCCAGTATATATAGTATTAGCTTTCTCAAGAGATTTAACAGCATGAGATATAAAAAAATAAGGTGCGACAGCAATCAAAAGTTGTACACAATATTTCTTGTTTAAAATTCTGGAACATTAGCCAGGCACTGAGGCATGTGCCTGTAGTTTCCAGTTACTTGGGAGGCAGAGGAAGGAGGAGGATCACTTGAGGTCAGACGTTCAAGATCAGCCTGGGGAATACAGGGAGACCTTATCTGAAAAACCACCACCAACAAAAAACCGGGAATGTATCATAAGTGATTTAAACAATTCTGCTCTCTGAAAGTCAGAATTCTAGACCCCTTGACAACAAACTGAGAGTGAGGAGGAAAATCAATAGATTTGTTTTTCTGTTCCCCGTTTCCTACAGTCTTACCAATAGCCAGCAGAGCATCTTCAAAGCTACCGGATGTTTCAGATTTGATACTCTGCTCAATATCCTTCTTCGATATCCTTTTGTATTCATCAAAAACTACAAAGAATAACAAAATGGCATCAAAATATAAAAGAATACACAAAACTAAAATGTATCAATAAAGTGAGCATCTTTTTTTTTTATTTTAGAGTGAGCATCTTTTAGTAAAACTTTATGCTGTTCTTTGTCATATATCAAGAGTGCAGTAACCAGCAATGAGGCTGAGATGTGGAGGAATACTGTGGCCCAGCAGAATGGGACTAAGGCAAGGAGGAAAGAGAACTGTGATTCCTGAAGGACACAGGTAAGTCACTTCCCTCAACTAGATGCTGCTTCCTCACAAATAAATGGAGACATCCTCTGCAGACTTGCTTTCTTTTCTCATTGTTCCCTTAAAACACACAACGTGTCCTTTTGCTGTTTAGGCCTCAGCAGTCACCTGCATGTTCAGCTTCCTTTTTGACTCATCAGAATTAAAGCAATTCAGCCTCTTCAAAACTGAGTCACATTTGATAACAGCTGCTTCGCCTCTTTTAATAGATACTAACGTAATTAAATTTCTGTTGCTTTTTTTGCCAAGTATTTTTTAATGTGATGGAATTTATTCTTTTCTTTTGCTCTCATCTTCTGGAGCTTTCTTAGATGAGATCTATATATATATTTTTTTATCTCCTAACTATCTCTTTCTCTGGCATACTGTCTTGTCTCAATTAAGGTGACTCTCATAGGTTGTCCATGTAGGAACACCCATATCCAACCACATACATCATAACTTCTACCAAACAAATGAGCAGTTCACCCAGTCAGGATTGCCTTCCTGAAAATTTCAAATTGGGCATATCATGGGAATGGCCCAAATCATGGAATTACTTTTACCTTCAAAGAACATAAGAAAAATCTGGGTGTGGTGGCACACACCTACAATCCCAGTACTTAAGAGGCTGAGGCAGGAGGGTTGTTGCAAGTTTCAGACCAATCTGGGCTACAAAGTAAGTTCAAGGCCAGCTTGAACTCTACAGCAAGACTCAGTCTTAAAAAAAAAAAAAAAAAAATCACCCAGGAAGTTTCTGGGTATGGCTCCCAGAGATTTTACTTCAGACAGTCTGAAGAAGGGGTGTATAAAATTCATTTTGGTGGTATGGACAGAACCCAGAACCTCACCCAGGTAGGCAAATGCTCCCCCACACACTACAATACCTACCCCCAAAGTACGCATTTTAAATGGAGACCAGACATCAGCCAGCAAACCTGCCTTAGAAATAAGAGCTATGAATTGCTTCTAGGGAGATGCCCAACACTGCCTTGATTTCTGTTCTTGAAGTTATTCTACTTTCCCTTCAATTTTACGAGCCACCAGTGTTTTTCATTTTCTTTCTTTTCCAATTCTTTTTTTACTTGAGTTGGAGTCAGTGTATATTGCTTGGAATTAAACTGACACATTCTCTGAGCCTGTTTTCTCCATTGTCAATTGGAGGAGATTATTATTACTCCATTGGGATACTGCAAGAAACAATGCTTATGGTAGCCTAACACCACATCTAGAAGTTGGAAAACTATTAACAAAATGGTAATCTAGAATCTTCACTATTATTGTTGGTTGCAAGAATATTATGAAGTTTTCTTTATTCAAAAAGTGCTTAAAACGTTTTCTCCCATGGCTTACAGGCCGATATTTTATACCTACCTAACTACTGCCTTTGTGTCTCGGAAGTGAACATTCTTACAGAATGGATGTACTATACTAAATCACCTTCTGAGACTGCAGTTCTGAGGCTGTACCATTAGGGGGAGATTTGTGATATCTGAAATCAGTCAAGGGATGGCAGAGTTGGTGTGTCTGATGGTAGCCTATGACATTTATTATTAGGAGTAATCGATTTTTTGTCCCTGTAGAATATCTGAAATAATTACAACTTTAAAATGAGTTGTATGTTTCAATTACGTTATGTTTCAATCTGGCAAACTCATTCTTCTCAAATTTCCCAGAAGCTTTGTAAATCTGTGTGTGTATGACAGGGGTATGGTGGATTTATAAAATTGTGATGCACATAAACAGCTGTATAAAAGTTGAAATATCCTATTAAATCTTTATTGCCATGTACAAGAAGACTATAAGCTTGAAACAAATATTCTACAATTGTAGTATCTTTTCCCCCAAAGAGGTTAAAAGCACATTACAAAGTTTAGAATGATCAGAAACAGACTAAAAACACCACACATAGGAAATAAAACCTGAATTATCCCCTGTTCATCTACTGCAACCTAACCCCTAAAGAAATTACTTCTTTGGATGTCCAAAAGGAATAAACATCAACTAACATTTCTATTTTATTTTTTTCCTGATGTACTAAAGACTTTTTCAAAGTTATAACTAAGTGAAAATGGAAGTATTAGGATTGCTTTAGAAAAAGGACCAACTAACCGTGGGAGCAATGAAACCCAAAATGTGTAATAGTCATTGTACAAAAGAGAGGAAAAGAAAGTGCTCTAAACTATATAACTGCATGTATATTTAAGTGTATAAGATAGAATATGATATCACAGAGTTTTATTGGATCATTGAACAGAACTGTTTGCAGTATCATTGATGGAATGTCCACTTTACAAGCTTTAATTTTGTGACTTGAACAATTATTTCTAAGATGACAATATGTAATCCATTAACTAGTGATTTCCTACTGTTCATTTTTTTTCTGTAAATCTGTATAACTTGTACCCTTTCTCTGCTTTTTTTTTCTTTTCTCCTTAAATAAAATTAAAAAAAAAAAAAAAAAAAAAAGAAAAAGGACCAACTATGAAGGTAGGTTTCCTGTCAAACTTTTATGAATACATTGTAGGTATTCATAATTAATTTTTCAGAAACTATTCCTTATTTGCGACCTTGGACTCATACATTCTAAGGGAAGAATCAAAGGCAGTTCAGTACAGTCAGTTTTCTGCACCAAGAGGGAAATTAATTAGGGGAATATACGTTTCACTATCTTTGAAACAGTGTCTTTGGGAAGTGAGGTAAGTGCTTACCATGCAACAGATGATTTCGGTTTCGGGAACAGAGGATCGTTAGGAATTTCACTTCATCTGTTCCCCATCTCTTCTCTCCAGCATCATACAGGTCCTGACGCCAAGAAAAGTACAAGTGTAAAAAATCAAAGAAATGTGCCAGCACACACGCAAATACTTCCAGAACTCTAGAGAGCTGAATGGCTTAGTTTTATTTTGTTGGCTGGAAAGAAAAACACACATGCACACGTAACAGAAGATTCCTCACTTACACCTGACTGCTGTAGGAATTTTCAGCTTTACAATGGTAAGAAAGTGATACATGGCTAGTAAGAACTATACTTCAAATTTTGAATTTTGATCTTTTGCCAGGCTATTTACAGCTGTATGATGCTTTACTGGAATGTGAGAAGCATTAGGAAGATGTACTGTGTTGTTAACTAACCAGGATGTTTAGTAGGTTTGGTAATAATAAATGCATTTTCAACTTACAACTTTCAACATGCAAGTGCATTTTGGGACATAATCGCACTGTAGGTCAAGAGGCATTTATCATTTATCTATCTATCTACCTGTCATCTACCTATCATCTTTCCATTCAACTGGTTCTGTTTATTGAAAACCTCTAATATACTGCCTTAATTACTAAAGCATGCCCGGGAGCAGTGGCACATCCAGAGTCCAATGTACTTGGGTGGCTCATTGCAGCCCTCAAGTTTAAGAACAGCCTGAAAACATAGTAAGATCTTGTCTCAAAAAAAAATTATGGCATAGGAGATCCTGTGATTTCTGAGACTGGGGTATACCCAGTCACCCAGCTTCCATTGGTTTGATAGGAATGCATGCCCTTGGGGTGCCTCCCTTAAAACACTGATGCCTAAGGGACATACATACCCCCTTCCTTCTAATGGAAGCCACAGCTTATTTTCTGCACAAACAACAGTGGTTCATAAGTCACACACGGAGTGGAATCAGTCCCTCACTATGGTTGTATGTTGGTTAAAAATGCAAGTATAAATCTCAGTTCTTCTGTTAGCTGTCTGAACTTGACAAGAAGCTTTTCTGAGCCTCAATTTCATTGTCTGTAAAATGGGATAGTAGTACTTATAGAGTTACTGCAAGAATTCAATGATGCACTGAGTATAAAACCTTAGGGAAATATTTGGTACCCACTTTTATGAGCTACTATTTTATTTTTATTATTATTACATTTTATTCTATCACAGTACTGGAGATTGAATCCAAGGGTGCCATACACTGAGTTATATCCCTCAGAACTTTTAAATTTTTTTTTCTGTCTTTTGAGACAGGGTCTCCCTCTGCAGTTCAGGCTGTCTTGAGCTCACTTTGTAGTCCAGGCTAGTCTTGAACTTACAATGATCCTCCTGCCTCAGCCTCCCGAATGCTGTGATTACAGGGATGTGCCACCATGCCTGGCATACCCTCAGAACTTTTTATATCTTGTTTTGAGTCTTGCCAAGTTGCCAGGCTGATCTCTGGTTGCCAGGTGGTCTGCCTGCCTTAGCCTCCCTAGTAGCTGAAATTACACAGACATGCACCAGCATACCTGGCTTATGAGTTATTATTATTAGTGTTGTCTGGCTATTGAGATTGATATAGGAAAAGCATTTGTGGGTTAGTGCCAGAGAAACAATCATCTCTTGGGGTTTGATAGTAATTTTACCCTTACAGGGTCTTACTGGATATTCTCTGTGGGGAAGAAAAACATGCATAGCAAACAGAGCATAGGCGGCACCCTACTTTGAAAGCCAATCAGTGATTCCCTGAGCTCATCACATAATTATCCCAATATCAAGAAGTTTGAGATCCAGAAGTGAAGACAGAATGATATTTAGTGCCGCCCCGAGTACCCCTGCAAGACACCTGCTGTTGAAGGTTATCCGTGGAAATCTTTATACGCCCCCGCCTGGCTCATACACTGAGGTAGGAAAGGAAGCCTGTCTGCCTACCGCGGAGAAGAAAACCGAAAGAAGAAACGTGGGTTCTACCAACCTTGGCATCCTGTTTCACGAGACCATCATCCAGGTAGTTCCCTTGATCCCTGCCACCCTGAGGACAAGGAAGACAAATGGACAGAGTAAAAGAGTGTCCATCAAGATTTGGGGGCACAGTTCAAGACAGAGGGCCTGGCCCCCCAAGGAGATGGTAATGTGACAAAATGCCACAAGGGTGCAACTCTGGGCCTCCGGGAAACAGGACAAAGTCCTCTGGCTGTGCTTACATTGTTACCATGGCTCTGAGCTGTGCCTAGAGGACACGGCCAGCAGAGTGTTTTCCAAACCAGCCACCCTAGGATCAGCTTGTGCCAGAAAGGGGCTCGAGCACGGAAGTGCCAAGAGAATCTGAGCCTGCGGTGGGATCTGAGGAAGCCATGAAATCTCCCCCTGCCCACCACAGCTCTGATCAGGGAAGGCAGAAGGGAGGCCCAGAGGAATCCTAAAGCGTGCCAGGACCTCGGGTTGGTTATTTTATTGTGAACTGCCTCAGTGTTCTGTGGTTCAGGCATGGCTGCTCAGGGTAGGAAAATGGGAGGAAGGGCAAAATGGGAAGACAGTAAGAGAAACATGCAAGCATTGTTTAAGTGAATGTCAGAGATAAGGCTAAATGAAAGCTGGGGACCATCTCCAGCAATAATAGTAACAGACACAGGCCAGGCAGGACGATGAGCTGGCTTGGACAGAAAAGGAGTTCAGGTTCAGTTTAGGAGCAATATAAGGTGACGGCAGATTAGCCATACAGAAACCTCCGAAATGCCCTGAAAGGCAGGCTTCCCGCCCAGGAGGGAGGTCACAGGGAATGTCTTGAACATCGTCTTTTATTTTCTGGCAGTGCTCTTTCCACCCTCATCCAATCCTGCTTAAATTCTCACCTGGACCTGATGTAGCTTCCTCCCTGGTCTCCCAGTCCCCACCTCCTCGCCACTGTTCTTCACAAATATCACTATCATACTCCTCTTAGGAAAACACAGTTCCAACCATCATCATGATTGTCACCACCATCATCATCTTCATCACCCAAACCTTCGGTGCTCCCTACTGCTTTCCAATTAAAAGTGTAAACTTGCAACACAGAATCACAGTCTTCGCTCGCAGCTTGCTTCCCAATTACCACTCTGCCCCTTCAGGCAAGTGTGCCCGGAACACACCCCATGCTTCCCGCCTCCTCGATGCCTGGAACGTGCCCACCCACATCTCAGTTTCTTGGAATCCTACAAATCTTCCAAGTACTCTCCCAACTAGCATCTCTGCCGTGAAGCTTTTTCTTTGTTTCTGCAAAACAAAGTCTCTCCTTGAATCTACCTTTTGCTACACGCTCTCCTGGGGCACTTAATCATTTCATGCCTGATAGCAACCTGTGTATCTGAGGACAGGATAAACTCTCAAGGCACAGGAACCCGCCGTGAGTCATCCTCATAACTTGCAGTGCTGGAATAGGGGTACCTGGCATATATTAAGGACTCATGAGCATTGATCAAATGGGTGTACATGACTGCTCAGGAGCTCTGAAAAACAAATAAGGTAAAAGAACAGAAAATCCCGGGAGCAACGTTTAGGAAATAGTCATATTTGGGGGGCTGAAGGAATGAGGGAGGCTGAAACAGGGGGTGGACAGTGAACACTGCAGTAAACCCATCCCCCATCAGAAGCAGTGACAGAGGCAGCGACTCACAGCTGACAGAGACACCAGCACTCTCTGGAACATGAATGAAGTGTCAGAGCAAATGTCGTCTTCAAGGCTCCGTCCATATTCTAGCAAGAAAGTGGAATTAGTTACATCAGGCTATAGAGTCCTGCCCACCTCTGTGTCACCCTCCAGTGGGTTCCATCCCTGCCCGACCCATGTGTTTGCTGTAGCAGGTCACCACGAGACTTTCCCCTGCATACACTTCTTCAAAAACTAAATTCAAGATAGTTTATGTTGTCATGAGACAGGCACAGGAAATGCCTGTCTCTGAAGATGTGAGCCTGAGAAGACCAGGCCCAGTGCTTCCCTCTGGTTCCCACTGGCCAGGCTCTGCCCTGAATGGCCACTGTAGAATCAGGGAAGGACATGGTGAGAGCAGCGCTTCCCAGTGAGGGGTGTGGAAGGTGTCCTGAGACACTCCAGCCTCGAAGACCTCCAAAGAAACTGCATGGCGCAGGGGTAGGCCCGGGGTGCTACATCCAAACTGCTAAGAGCTAGAATTGCCCATCCTGAACACTGACCAGTGTCTCAGATCGTATTGTTTTCTTCTACAAAAGCCACACATGTTGACTAGAGAACACTTAGGGGAAAAAATAAGTAAAATGAGAGGAGAAAACTCTTCTGTGTTCTAATCATTTAGAAATACTGACGACTGAAATCACTGATAACATTTTGTAAATCTTTATTTTTTTCTGTCTTTTAACAAGAGATGCTGCCTGTTAGTTTTGATTTGTTCTTCTTACTTACCTAGATACCACACTTTGTAATAAACTAATACATTTTTGCAATATACATTTTACGGACTACTAATTCATTGTAGGACTATACCACTTATTGTTTAGCCAACCTAATGCCATTGGACATTTTTAGCTAATATACACAATGCCAAATAAGCACCACAGAATCTAAATATTTTTACATTTTCTGTTCTATTCTTAGGGTAAAAAGGCAAGTTTTTTTTAAAAACTTCTTCATACGTAGCATCATCTGGAGGCTTTTCAAAAAGGATTAATGGCTATCATTTTGAGAAGGCTGCAGGACACACAGGCCATTCTGGAGGTCAAAAATTGGGCCAGACAGCCCCTCCTTTGAAATGCTAAGAATCAGTTGTTGATGCCAGCATGTTAAACAAGCATTTTTGATTCTTTGCTTGGTTGTAAGGAACAACTTTCCTGCTCGAAGGCTGATAAAACAGTGCACTGGGCAGCCTATGCAGAGTGATGTCTTTCTCTTCAGAAGTCTACAGAAGCTGACCAGCAGACATCTGCCTAGACAGGGTTCTGCCTCAAGGACAGCCTTGTGCTTATGAACCCCTTGTGGTCGGTGTGCCTAGGAAGACAGTCTAGTCAACGGATAGCCATCCACTGCTAATCTTGTTCTCCAATCATAGCAAAACCTCAGCTGGGCCACTGCACAAGTTACATACGAATCTGGTAGGTCTGCTTGATGCGGTGGATCTCCTCGGGGGTCCGCGAGGCCAGGATCTCAATCAGGCAGCCTTCATCCGTGCCAGCTCCCTGCACAGCAAACCAGAGGACAGCTTTTGTGAACCAGCATACTGAGCTGGTGTACACTTCTGTTTTGGGGTATTGGTTAAAAAAATTTTACAAGTTGAGTCCCAGATACAGAAGGAATACAGACTCAAACCTGCAGGGGACAAAGGCAACCCACTGAGTCCTAGCAATAGGATTTGTTAACTTTTAATTATCTTCCTCCAAATCCAGTGTTTACCATACACATTACTAGTTATAACAAACCCTTAGGGCCTGTTTATCCTGTGTTGGTTTCAAGTGCCAGGTTCAGTACAGTTTCTGTGCTTTGGAGGCTTAATCTTTCCGTGGCCTACTGTTTTCTTCATATGAAGCGTAGAATCGTCTGGCAAAGACCTTTTGCCTCTTTGCTTTCTCAGAGCATTCTACAAGGTCAAGTCCTTTTTAATATGGTTGAGGAGAATAACTGCATTTATGTGTCATGTGTCAATCACTGAAAATCAACTGACCCCAATTAGGGCCCAGAGGACTGCTCGGGCACGCACAGTGGTCTTACATGTAGGGAACTCTTCTGCCAGTTCTAAACTAACAGCAGACCTGGAGGCACTAGGGCATCAGTCATGAAGTTCCATCGCTCAAAAGTAACTGACACACCAAGAAAGTTTCCAGAAAGACACCAAAAGCACAACTAAGATCACTCCTGTGGATGAGCTCAGCAGCACAGCCCACACTTAGCCAAATGTGCGAGGCCCTGGTTCCACACAGATAACTACAATCCCTGCTCCCTGAGCCACAGGAAGGAGCACATGAGTCTTTAACTTTCTGGAAAACAATTTTTAAATTATAGGTACTAGAAAGTCTCCAAGGTGTCATCATGAGATCATGAGTGGAAAACCTTTCTCCTCACGTCGTGAGAAATAACTTTGCTTTCCACCCTTGGAAGGGCTGGGAGACACAGCCTCAGTGTTTGTGCCAAGCACTCTGCAGGCAGAGGGGAAGAACACGCACCTTCATGGCCCTTCGCAGCTCCTGCACATCATATAGCACGGTGGGTGTCATCATTCCTATGATCACCTGCTCGAAGTTGCCACTCAGTTCGGACTTCAAGTCATCTATCAGCTCCTGCAACAAGAGAAAGCAGCCCTGCTTAAACACCTACAATAATTGAAATGAGCCGCTCTCCAGTTGTGACCTGGGGGGTTTCCAGGGTTTCACGACCCTTCCAAGCCATAGGAGAGGTCTGACTGTCTTCACAGTAACCCTAAGACTTTATCTGCCTTGTTACTGTCATGCTCTCAAGAGTACACAGTGGAGTTTTCCTAAAGTTACTCAACATATCTATGCATATTTACAGCTAGGGTATTAACTAAAACACTCCCCTCATTTCCTACTACATTTCTGTACAAGACCAGATTTTCTTCATTTATCTAAAAACAAAATCATATACTGCAACAAATTAAATGCAGATGCAGATATGAGAATCCAGCTATCTTCTCCATTAAGTCACACTTTACAGAGATTTATAAAATGTGAAACAAAGCCAGCTTCACATTAAAATTTTATTTTGGAACATATATCTAATATATTTACTTATTTTTAATTAAAAAAAATTTGGGGGTGTACTGGGGATCAAATTTATGACCTTGCACTTGCCAGGCAGGCGCTAATACCACTAAGCTATGTCGATAGCCCCTAATATATTTATTTTATTTTTTTTTTTAATTTTATTTAAGGAGAAAAGAAAAAAAAAGCAGAGAAAGGGTACAAGTTATACAGATTTGCAGAAAAAAAATGAACAGTAGGAAATCACTAGTTAATGGATTACATATTGTCATCTTAGAAATAATTGTTCAAGTCACAAAATTAAAGCTTGTAAAGTGGACATTCCATCAATGATACTGCAAACAGTTCTGTTCAATGATCCAATAAAACTCTGTGATATCATATTCTATCTTATACACTTAAATATACATGCAGTTATATAGTTTAGAGCACTTTCTTTTCCTCTCTTTTGTACAATGACTATTACACATTTTGGGTTTCATTGCTCTCACGGTTCTTATTACTTTTTTGGAAGAGAGTAAAACCAAATGTGACATAACAGAACAGAATCGGTCAAGGCAAAAGGGTGGACATAATAGATAATGTGAAAACATAATACAAGGTGATCAACAATGGTTATCATAATGCCTCCCGCTATCTCTAATAGAATTGCCTATACCATTAGTTATAATACAATTGAACAAAACAGTAAAGAACAAAACCGACAAAACCAAACCATTGGAGACATTGTAGGTCTTCAAAAGTAGATAAAAGTCAACGAGAATGGGCGTTATAATGAATCTCATTATCTTCACAGCTGATGCCTAAATTTTCGAACCTGATACTATCCAGCAAAACAGAATAGGGGAACATCAGTTAAAAACCAGATGGTGAGAGTAATACAGGGCTTTAAATCGAGGTAATGGAAAGTCAAAGTGGGTTACTATAATATATCCTGCTATTTTTTTCCTTTAATTAAAAGGATAAAAATTTTAAAAAAAGTATTAAAAAAGTAAATAATGGAGTGGAGATTGAGATAAAAGAGGGCATAACAACGAAACAGCACAGATCAAAACATAACCATTTAAGCAGAATAGTGTTTCACCACCAGATAATCCTGACCTAAAAGTAGTTACCATATTGTCTCTTTCCTTGAAACCCTTGAGTACAACTTCGTATACTGTAGCATTAAGTATATCAAAACAATGTAAAACCATTTAAGAGAATGACAGCATTAGAGTATTTAGAATCGACTAACAGAAAATGAATAATGGTTTCTGTATAATCTCCTTGTCTTTAAAAGATTTTTGCTTATACTATCGTACATAATAAAATCCAGTAAGATACAACCTATTTAGACCATTGGAGACAGAAGGACAAAAGCTAGATGAGACTTCACAACAAGATGATACTAAATCAGTATTACCTATTAAGATGTCATTTTCTCCAAAATAGCTTTTCCTATCATCCAATCTTCTCTGTCTCATTTCTGTTGAGCTCTTATTCTGTCAGTAGCTGTCAGTTTGTCTTCTTCACTTTGTTCTCTGCTCCATTAGTTGTGGCCTCCACTATTTCTGGATTCTTTGTATTTTTCTTTTTTTAGAATATCCTGCAATACTCTCTGTAGAGTGGAATTGGTGGTTGCAAATTCCCCCAGTTCCTCTTTATCCTGGAAGCACCTTGTTTTTCCATCAATTTCCAGGGACAGTTGTGCAGGATATCTCAATCTTGGCTGGAGATTATTATCTTTCAAAGCTTGAATTATTTCTCCCCACGCTCTTCGTGATTTGATGGTTTGTGCAGAGAAATCTGCTGTAATTCTGATGGGTGTTCCCTTGTAAGTGGTCTGTTTCTTGTCTCTGACAGCTTTTAATATTCTGTTCTTGTATTGAATTTCTGGAATTTTTATTATTATATGCCTGGGTGTTGCTCTGTTTGGGTTGTAGGTAGCTGGGGTCCTGTATGCCTCATACATCTGAGTATCTTTACCTTTTGCTAAATTAGGAAAATTCTCCTGGATTATTTCTGTGAGTAGCTTTTGTAGTTCATTTGTTTGTGTCCCTACTTCTTCTTTTATGTTCTTAATCCTTAAGTTATGGATCCTCTTATCATCTTCTTGTCTTTGTATTATTGCTGTTTGTTTCTTTGTTATTTTTAAGAAGTTTTTCATTTCATTCTCCCATATTACAATTCTGCCCTCCAGTTCAGATAGTCTGTCCTTAGTTTCTTTCAAGCTGTTATGCCAGTCTTCGATAGACTTCTTAGTTTCTTGGTAGTCCCTTTGAACCTGCTTCACGTATTCTATGCTTTCCCTGTTTTCTCCATCAAACAATTCTCCCCTCTTTTTCTGTTCTTCCATTCCACCACCTGTTTTTTCTTGGGTGGTACTTAGCATTTCTCTAACTATTTTGCATACTTCTAGCTTCAGGTCATTGATAACTTCATTCCTGAATTGGTCTATGAGGCTCTCTATATGGTGCCTTATGTGTATTGGTGCGGTGTCTGCTATTGCCTGTTTCTCAGAATTGGGGGCCGAGGAGCCTTTCTTGTTGCTGCCTCTTCCCATGCTGCCTCTTCTTCTCTGTTCTTTATATATGCAAGCTTATATAAGAGGCCCAGCTTCTCTCCTAGTCAGCCACAGCCTGATCGAATTGCGCCAGTTAGGTGTTCCCGCTCACCACTGCGCACCAGGCAGCCCACGCGGGGCCCGCCCCTCCCGGCCTCCGTCAGGCTCTGGGATCTGGGTTGGGCCAGCCTACGGGGTCCGCCGGCAGCGTCACTCAGGCCAGGCACTTTTCACCAATCCTGCCCGAGAGGGGAATGTGTCGCTGGAGTTGCCACCGCGCCCTGCTCCCGCAGGACTGCTCGGGCCCAGAAAGTCCGCTGGAGTCAAACTGTGGTGGAGTGTCAGTTTCTCTCACTCACCTCGCCACAAGTCAGAACATGCCTCCCTGCCCGTCCTGTTTTCGACTCCATTCGCAGACTCCCGTTCTCAGAGCTTCCGCGCATCTCTCTCCTTGCCGAGCCGATGTAGAGGCAGCCAGCCACCGCGCGGCGGGAAACCCAAATCGCGGCTTCCAATGGCGCAGGGTCCAGCCTCAGCAGCGAGGCTTTTCTGTTCCTGTTTTAGCACCAGGACTGCATTCCAAGTTGGTTTCTCTCAGCCGAGTTCGTTCCTGAGTCAGCAGAGCATAACTCCACCTGCTTATGTCCCTTTAGTCCGCACCATACCTGGCTTCTGAGCCTAGTTTTTCAGAGAGCCTCCAGTAGTTGCTGTTATCTGTCCCCCATGTTCTCCCAGAAGTCCTAATATATTTATTTTTAAGAAGTGTATAAGACCGCCTGGACAGCTCTCCTTGAATAAAGAGTAATTACCTCCCCTTGGCTACACCTGGCCCTATCTCATGTACTGATATGTACATAGCTGGCTAAGCCATTTCCTTTTCCCTTCAACTGGCTCTGAGCAACGTAAATAGAGATAGCTGAGGTGCTGATGTGTAATCTTTGAAGCCAGTGACAGTTGACTGTTCCCCCAGCCCAGTGTCTCCCTAAATGTTTGAGACCAGCAGGATGCAGAGCCAGTGCTCCAGGGCTGTCAACTGGGTTTGACCCTCAAGATAAGAAGCGATGACTTCCCAGGGCAAAAAGTTTACACACCAGAAATTGAAGCACCAGCCTCTTAAGACATTAGATGCTACCTCAGTTGTGCTATGCAGATTGGTCTTTCTGCATATCCTTCTCTTTGAATATTGCACAGGTGCTTTCTGGCCTCCTAGCTAGCTCAGCTCACATAATTCCTGCCATTCTCACAGTCACTCATCCTTAGCTACTTCCTTCTTCATGAATTAATAAAATTTAGATTAGGCCCTGGGTTGGGGCCCTTGTTTCATGAACCCTCAGCTGGATTGGACCCTGGCTGCCCTTAACTGTAAATATGTCTTAAATCCCTTTGTTCTCACCATGGGTTGCACTAAAGGTAGTAGATTGGAATTAATTTGCCAGAATTTCAATAACACATCCATGGGATTACAAATATAAACTTCCTGGATGGTGACCAGGATGGGAAAGGACTCTATTAAGAAGTTAATTACTATAAAAAAAAGTTAATTACTTAGCTTTAAAATCCTCATTTTTAGTATCATAAATATTAATAGATATAATTTCAAAAACTAAAATGTTCTCAATAACTTAACATCATACAGAGGCTCTGAGATTAAAATGTTAGTAGACACAAACTTCAATGCATTTCTTATTTAACAATATATCCTGACTGTATTTCCAAGTTAATATTCACCTATGACATTTAAAAAAATGTTTTCATTTTTTCTTGGGTATGGTGATATACCATATACTGGTACTGTCAGCACTTGAGAGGCTGAGGCAAGAGGATTTCCATGAGTATGAAATCAGCTTGGGATACATGGTGAGTTCAAGGCCAGGAGAGACTATATAGAAAGACTCTCTCAAAAAAAATTATCTGTAATTGACACGTAGTATATATTTATGGAGTACGATGTGACCTTTCAGTATCTATATACAGTATATAATGATCAGATCAGGGTAACTGGTGTAGATAGCTATGGTATATTTATCATGTAGGCCATTGACTATTTCTTTGTGTTGGGAACATTCAAAATCTTCTTAAGCAGCTTTTTTGAAATAATTAATTGCTGTCTACTGTACATATCTTTGTGTGTTAGAGAACACTGGAAGTTGTTCCTCGTATCCAGCTGTTCCCTGTAACTGTCTTCTTTTCATCCTCTTGCCCTACACTTTCCCAGGTAACCACTGTTTCCAGGAACATTTGTAAACAAGACAAAGGGCCTCCGCCTCCTGCTCCTCTGCCCCTCTGCCATCTTCCTTTTCCTAGTGCCATCAACGCAGGCTTCATTATGGGGGCTCTCAGCCCCAGATTTGTAATTAGATACTAATCGTTATGTCAACATTTTGGAAAAAGTGTTTATTCCTCGTGGATTAAACACGGACAGTACTGAAAGGTTTGCCTGAGACGTGATGCAGAGATGGGAAGCTGTCACACTGTAGCCCTCTGTGTTCTCAAGGGGGGCTACACATACTTTGTTGACCTGCTGGACTACAGTAAAGCACTGAATAGAAATTGTGATAAACCATTCCTTTGACTGTAGATTTTATCTGACTCAAGAGATCAGTCAACAGAGGACATAGAAGTAATGGGTGGAGATGAGCTCTCAATTTTCACTGGAAAGAATATCCTGAACGATGAGAATATAATTGACACTGGCAAAACAATGTAAATATTGCTTTCCTTAATCAAGCAGTACAGTCCAAAGATGGTCCAGGTCACAAGCTTGCTGGTGAAAAGGACCCCTTGAGGTGCTGGATATCAGGCCAGATTTTGTTGGATTTGAAATTCCAGACAAGGTGTTGTTGTTGTTGACTATAATGAGTAATTCAGGAATTTGAATTACATTTGTGTCATTGGTGCACCTGAAGAGCCACAAAGCCTCAGGTAAGAAAGAGTTCAACTTGAATCAACGAACTTTGGGAGTCCCATTGATACAACCAGCAAAATTATCAGATGTTCTATTTTTGTGGTCATCTGCTTAGCAAAGCTTTCAGCATGAACCTAATCAGACTTTTGTCTGTTTTGTACCTTGAAAATGTCAGTTGCTGCATTCCTGAACTTTTTTTTGCATTATGAGTCTAGAGACTATCAGTTCCCATTGAGTGGATTACTTAACTTGTGAATGGAAAAAAAATTATCTCATAAACTATACCATTATTAAATAAGAACACTGAAATTGTATCTGCAAGAAAAATTTAGAGAGAAATATTAGTTTTTTAATTGATTGGTTGTTGTTATTGTTGTTATTATTTTGTTTTTGTTTTTCTGACAGGGTCTCATTGTATAGTTCAGACTGGCCTTGAACTCACTGTGTGGCACAGAGTGGCCTCAACTCACAGTGATCCTCCTGTCTTAGCCTCGTGAGTTCTGGGATTTCAGGTGTGCGTCCATCATGCCTGGTGTTTAATTGGTATTTTAATATTTGTATATTCAGGAAAGAACAGAAGTGATTGACTATTTTTCATTATATCATGTGTTTGGAAAAGTCAGAAACATCTAAGAGGCTTTGTTTAGTTGGAAAAAACCCTATGTTTCTGCAGAGTTGACTCTTTTTTCCACTAATTCAAGATTATTTCCTGTTAATCATTGTCAAGTTTTATAAAAATACACATAAATTAAAACAAATAAACAAACCAAAACAAGACAAAGGATTCATCTTTTAAGACACAGGACTCCCTCAGGCATCTTGTTGGAGATGCCCTGCTTCCTTCCACACTGCCCGAGACGTCCCTGTCACCCACACGGAGCAGGACACCCGTGCCTACCCTGCCGATGGTGGTCTTGTAGGCCGTCCTGATTTCCTGGCGCTGGGCCGTGCTGCGGTAGGCCAGGACTCTGATGATGGCGTCTTCATCTGTGCCTACAGGCGTGGCAGAGACAATGAATGACTTTGATTTGACAGCAAAATGGGAAAGTGGGTTCTCTGGGGACAACTGCCTTCACCAAACGCTGAAAGCTTGCTCAGAAAGGACAGTATATCTATTTTACTGGAAAACAGTTTGAATCTTAGCTTCCCCTTTACATAGTAAAATAGTAAATTTTTCCAAGCATCAGTCTTCTTGCCTGTGACTTGGGAATGAGGACAGTATTCACTCTGATTGGGCTGTTGCAAGTGGCACATAAAATAATTCAGAGAATTGCTCAGCCCAAAGCCCAGAACTTACTACACATTCAATAAACGTTGGCTGGGATCATTCTTTTTCCTCTCCTCTGGAATTCCTTTCCTATCCCCTGGGTCTCATATCTTCTGCATATTTACCTTTTCCCTCTTTATTATTTTCTCTGAGTTTTAAAACAACTCACACTTTCCTCTAACTCACTGACTTGTTATTTTGTAGAGTTTAAACTGGCTGCTCAGTGTATTAAGTGTACTGTAAAATTTAAAATTATAATTGTATTTTTAATTTTCAAGCTATCCTTCCCATAGTCTCCATTTTCAAATTATTTTTCCCTTTTCCCATTTTATACAACAGACCACCAAAACTTATGTTACAAGTTAGAAATGTTTCAAATCTTGCTTGTCTGTTGCTTAGAGCAGCTTTTACAAGGAAAGTTTTGACTGATTTTCCCAATCTGTTCCTCATCTCTATAATAGCAGGACACTCATGTGATGTTTGGTAAATTTTCTGTTTCCTTGCTGTTTATGCTGTATGAAAAGTTGTAATGTAATTCAGAAGGAATTCTACTAAAATGCTTGGATGAAAAAATATGCATTTATCATAAATGTTCTTTGCAAGATTAGAAATCTAGAAAAATGTGAAGTGTGGGATGAGACTGTAAAATTTTTTTTTTTGTACTGGGGATCGAACTCATGACCGTGTGCTTGCAAGGCAAGTGCTTATGCCACTGAACTAAATCCCCAGCCCCCAAGGCTATAAAACTTTTAAGTTTATATATTATAGGGTAAAAGACAGAGAGCCAGGTATGACAGTACATGCCTATGCACATGCCTGTAATCTCAACTGCTTCAGTCTGGGAAGCTGAAGCAGGAGGATCACAAGTTTTCAGTCCAGCCTGGACAATTCAGGGAGACCTTGTCTTAAAATAAAAAATAAAAAAGGTCTGGAGATGCAGTTCAGAAACTCAAGGAAAAACGAAAGGGACAAAGAGAAAAAGGAAAAAAGAAAGAAAGAAAAAGATAATAGATACCACTGGCCTTTGCTGGTTCTGAACTCCCAGCTGAGGGAGAAGGTGCACTCCCTCTTGCTTGCCTCCTGTCTATGAAAGCATTATGCGTCCTCCAGCTGCCAAGTCTGAAACCTCAAGATAGCTCTGATTGTTTTTATGTTCTCCCTCAACATTCAAATTTCCTGCCAAATCATGCAAAATCTTGCTCTGTAGCTTTTTTGCATGCATCTTTTTTTTTGCATGCATCCTTTTGACTCCCACAGAGAACTGCAGGATTTCTTTTTAGTAAACTGTAAAAATCTTCACTAGTATTTTCCCTTCCTAATTGATCTTGTCAGAATCTTTTTTTTTTTGCATTAGAGAACAAATAAAATGTTAAGAATTTTAATGGTTCATCACAAAAGCACTTACCAAACAAAATAATGTTAATAAAAATTCTTTTTTTTTTTTTTTTTTGACTTTTTCATTTTTATCGGTACCGGGGATCAAACTCACGACTGCCTGCTTGCAAGGCAGGTGCTTATGCCGCTGAGCTAAATCCCCAGCCCCTTGTTAATAAAAATTCTTAAATAAAAGAATTTTAAAAGCACCAATGCAGAAAATAGCATTAAAGTGTTTGCATATTTGCAGTCTTTTTTTTTTTTTTTTTGTCTTTTTCGTTTTTATCGGTATCAGGGATCGAACTCAGAACTGCCTGCTTGCAAGGCAGGCGCTTATGCCACTGAGCAAATCCCCAGCCCCCTTTGCAGTCATTTTTAACGTTCCCATATTCCTTTAAGAACACCAGCTTTTAAATTTTAGAGCCACATCAACTTATAGGCAAATAAAGACTACATCTGAACAAATCAGACATAAAGCAAGATGACTTAGAAAACTACTTTTAAAAGTCTTATTGCCAGAGAATGGCTTTAAATGATTTTTTAAAAAAACTCAAAACAATCTGAATTACCTTTTGCTTTTCAAAGTATCCAAAGATTCCCCACAACAAATCGGTGTACTTTTAGGTGTACAGTGTTTACAGGCCATCATAATCCTCACTGACCCATCAGCTTAGACATTTTTACTGACCTTAGTCTGTCACCATACATTTTGCAAAGACTTGCCAGACATCTGAAAACAAGTGAGGTGTATTTAAACAGGCAAAAACAAAACAAAAGAAACCAACAAACAAAAACAACTTGCCAGAATCTTGCAACTTTTTCCTAAAAGGAAAGTCTCCCTGAGCATGGTGGCACACACCTGTAATCCCAGGACTCTGGGAAGCTGAGGCAGGAAGATTACAATTTAGTGACTTAGTTTTGTTTTGTTTTGTTTTCGGTACCGGGGATCAAACTCATGGCCGCCTGCTTGCAAGGCAGGTGCTTATGCCGCTGAGCTAAATCCCCAGTCCCCAATTTAGTGACTTAGTAAGACCCTGTTTTAAGACTTAAAAATTTAGGGGCTGGGGATTTAGCTCAGCAGTATAAGCACCTGCCTTGGAAGCAGGCGTGAGTTCGATCCCCGATACCGATAAAAAAAACAGAAAAGAAAAAAAAAAAAAGACTTAAAAAAATTTTTTTTAAATGAAACAAAAGGGTGGGTGATTTAGCTCTATGCAAAGGCTCTGGGTCCAATCACTAGTAACACAAAATAAACCAATAGATAAATAAGTAATTTATTATATCCCTCACCTGCTCAGAAATATACCATGGCTCCCCATGGCCTGCTGAATCTCCTACAGGGCACTGGCGCCTCCCTTCAACCTCCCCTTTTCTATTGTAAATATCCATATAAAATGATACCAGGCAGTCAGATTCTTAAACTTGACTCTACCGAAGTGTACAGCCCTCCAGTCTCCTGACCCCTTCGTTAGCAGTCTATTGATTTAGCTGTCTCCCTGACCACCTCCACTTTGTGTCCTGATTTTGACACCTGTGATTCCCTGGACAGTGCCTTTGCCACCCCCACGTCTGTGATCCTCTCAATAGCACCACCAGAACTTCCCTTTGATACTTTCCACCTCTTAAAGCTCCCAACCAACCTCCTCTTCCTCTGCAAGCACCTGCTGCTGCCGCCGAAAGCCACTTCCCACACAGCCACTGTTTCTCTTGTGCCTCAGCTCCATTCACTTGAAACGTCCCCTATTTATCTCATCACCCAGGGCTCATCTCAGATTCCCCATTCTCCAACAAGTTTTTTTTTTTTTTTTTTTTTTTTTCCTCCAACAAGTTTTGCCTGATGCTCCCAAATGAAATGTCATCTCCTCTCCTTCATCCCCTAGGCAGAGATGGGGAACCTTACAGAGCTTTCCGGCTCTTGGTGGCATGTACGCCATAGGTTCACCACCACTGCCCTACAGGATCTTATCTGTGCCCCTCTTATCATTATGATATCACAAACTAGTTGCAGAGGTTTCTGTGCTGTCCTAGCATTTGTAGATTATTTGACCGCCAGGCCGTGCGGTTAGGCAGTGCTGGGAACTGAACGTAGGGCCCTGTGCATGTTAGGCAAGCACTCTACCACCAAGCTACACCCTCAGTCCCCAGACTAGGGCTGTCTCCTGCCTCTTCCAACTTCCGGCCTGAAAAAGGACTGGTTCTGCTAACTGCTGCCTGACTCTTGCTTTGAGAATTCTGAACACATGTGGTCCACATTCTGAATCACAGTGTTCTTGCTCTATACCAAAGAATTAGGATAAATCTAAAAAAAAGTAGACCTGGTACATTTTCCATTTTATTTACAAAAGAGGGAAAATGAGAATACTCAGAGTCAGGACAAAGGTCTGCTTAGAGGTGGTCAGCTGGGCAGCAGAAGGGCTTAGACTCCAGCTGTGAAGTCGCTTTGCCTGACATCACCTGCCTGGAATCCCCTCACTCACTAGTTCCAATTTGCCAGGGGCTGGGGATTTAGCTCAGCAGCATAAGCGCCTGCCTTGCAAGCAGGCAGTCGCAAGTTCGATCCCCGGTACCGATAAAAAGGAAAAAGACAAAAAAAAAAAAAAAAAAAAAAAAAAAAAAATTGAGTTCCCAATTTGCCCATGCAGGTTAGTCAGCCTCCCTGACCTAAGCCTCTGATCAGCAAAGCAAGCTGTTGTCAGGATAAAGAACAAATAATCTTTGTAAAGTATCTATGCCTGACACAACAATAGAGCTTAATAAAGATGTGCTATTATTACTAATGTTACTATCTATAGCAGTGAGGCTAAGAAAAATGAACTCTTTTTGGATAGAAAGATTAAGAAATAAGGTCTCACAGTCAAGTGTTTTCACTCAAAAATGTCCTCATCAAAAGTCCACCCAGGCAAGGTCTTGGAGGCAGGGTAGCCTGCTGTGCACCCTGAATGACTCTGTCTATCCAGCATGAGGTCTTTGGCCTCCAGGGCCTAACAAAAGTAGTGTCCCGGAAGGAGCATGAGCCTTGTCACATAAGGTTCCTCACACTGTAGCCGGGGCTGCCGCAGCTGTATCTCTGCAGTCCCACTTGCAGGAACTCAAGGGAAAGGATTCGTAATTAGAATCTGTAGGTCTGAGCTGCAGACTTGGAGCTGACAAATGCAAGTCATGGCTCAGAGCCATTTCCTACGTGATCTGGTAAGAGTTCTTTGAGCCTCCCTGGGTCTCAATTTCACACCTGTAACACAGGGCAAAGTAATAGTCGGTAATGGCTTCCTCGACTAAATCAGAGTTGTTACATATATCTTTCAAGATGTTTGTGGAATTGCCTTATAAACCTCAGAACACCATACATGGACCAACACTATTTGGAAAACAAATACAATTCTAAGTTTCACGCAGAGACTCATAATGTTGTAGCTCAAAGCAGATTTAAAGAGTTGGGGAAATTCACAATGAGTGCAATTACATTTAAAAGTCTGTATTAAAATGAATAAGTATTAATGTCCTCTGCTACACTTTAGATCAAAAATGTCCCCCAAGGGCCCACATGCTAAAGCACTAGTCTCTAGCTTGATGTTAATGGAGAGTGGTGAACCTTTAGGAGGCGAGGCCGAGTGGAAGTTGCTCTTGAAGGTGATTTTGGGACCACACCCTCCACTCCAAACTCCACTGTGATGCGCTATCTTAATACAATGAATGGGCCAACCGACCATGGACTGAAACCACCCAAACTACGAGTTTTTTAAACTGATTATCTGAAGTATTTTTGTTATAGAAACAGAAATCTGACTAACACACCCTCCTATCCAATTTGTTTTAAAAGGCTAACTTGTTCCCATTGTGTTTTCCCAAAGGAGACTCCTGATCGCCAGTACACATACCTGACTTCTGTGGTGTACCATACATAAAGGAGAATTCACCTGCAGTGGGACTTACCAAGTCCTTTCATGGCCTTCCTCAGGGCCTGGGCATCCTCGATGGCATTGAATCCTGAAGCAGCTTTGACGGTGCCTCCTTTGGTTGCCTGAGTACACAGAGTATGATGTGATTGAGAGGCGGCATCTCGCCAACATGGAGGCATCTCACTCAGCAAATACTGGCTAAGCACCTACCATGGCCTAGATACTAGTCCGGTGGCAGGGATACAAAAGTGACTAAGGGATAAGCTTCCACCCCAGGGAGCTGATGCTCTAGGTAAGAGGAAGGTGAGAGCAAACAAGCCAACAAATAAATATTCTATATGGTGAGAAGTATTACAAAGCCGTGTTTTGGGCAGGACTCCTCTAAGGTGTGACATTTAGGCTGAGAGATAAATGACATGAAACAACTTGGCCGGAAAGTGTGTTTACAGATGAAATGAAAAGATAGCAGGAATCCAATTACAGCTATGAAGAATAAAGATAAAGATAAAGAGGAAATAAACCAGGCATGATGACACAGGCCTGTAATCCCAACACCCTGGGACTGAAGTAGGAAGATCATAAATTCAAGCCAGCCTGGGCAATTTAACAAGCCTCCATCTCAAAATAAAACATAAAATTAGAAAAGAGCTGGGGACATACTCGGTGTAAAGGCCCTGATTCATACCACCAATGCTGAAAGAAAATGAAGAAATAAAATTGACTGAGTTAATAATCATTGATAGCTATGTACACAAAGGGGTACTTACAGTATTCTGATTATCTTTGTATTTAAAACTTCCCAGAGCTAGGGATATAGCTCAGCGGCACAAGCGCCTACCTGGCAAATGCGAAGTCCTCAGTATCAAAACAAACAAGCAAACAAAAAATCCAGCCTTTCCACAATAAAAATTAAAGATAAAAAAGGGAAGAAAATCAAAGAAATAGGCTGGGGAGCCTCAGCAAGGTTGCCCTTCCAAGCAGAGTAAGGTATCTGTATTTATTCAAAGCCTGAGAGGAAGCCACCAACAGGTCTGAAGCCAGGAAATGGGGCCAAATCACCTCATTTGCATATTTAAAAGATCCTGCCAGCTGCCACACTGAGATTCAGAGACCCATTGGGGGTTTCAGTCAAGCTGGGAGTGGGAAGTGGTGTCAGACGTGGGTGAAACAGCTAAGATGGAATAACTAGACAGACGCTGCACAGGTTTTGGAGCAAATGAGACATAACTTGCTGATGGACTAGTGTGGGAGGTGAGGAAAGGAGAGAATCAAGTTTAAATCATTTTCTCTGAGCAGCTGGGTGGACAGTGCTGTCACTCATCCAGATGGGAAAAAATGGAGGAGAATGTCCCCACTGGGGGTGGCAGCGAGCAGGGGTAGGAAGGGAGGATTTAGAAGTTCTGTTTTCACAGTGGCTAAGTTTGGGATGTCTGCTAAACATCTAAGTGGAATTGTCAAAAGGACAGCTGGTCAGACCAAGTAAGTGTAGAAGAAAAGTTTAAAGCAGTGATGGCGAACCTTTTAGAGACCAAGTGCCAAACTGCAACCCAAAATCCAGTTACTTATCCCAGAGCACCAACACTGCAATTAAACCTGAACACTGAGGATTTAGTTTAGAAAAAAAAAAAAAAAAAAAACCCAACTACATTAACATCTTTTGTCAAAAGAAAAGTACAATAACGTATGTGCCATAGACTCACCACCACTGGCCTAATTAGCACTTGGATGGTATTTAATAAGATGACCCAGGGAGAACGTAAAGAATGAGGTCAGCGATCCCAGGACAAGAGGGCCCCAGTGCAGGTCCGGCAGAGACAGGGAACCCATCAAGGATGATGGGAAAGGACCACTCCTGGTGACCATGGAAACTCAGGCGAGTACACTGTCCAGAGGCTAACGATGGAGGGAGTGGTCGACTTCCACCCATGAGAGGCTTAGCGTGGAGCAGAGGGATAGGACAGAAGAAACCAAGATAGGTGAAAAGGAGATGATCAAGCTGTAATTTTAAGGAAGATGTAGCAAAATGCAACTTTAAGACACAATCAAGGTTATCCGAAGTTACAAGGCCTTTTTACCCCAAGACTGGTCTTTCTTCCAGCCCCTGACCCCGAAATTCCTGAGTCTAAAGAAACTGAGTCTATATATTTGACCTTTTTCTTTTTTTGTCTTTTTCTTCTCATGCTATAAATCTGTAAATTTCAGAGGCTTCCACTCTCAAGCAGACAGTACAGGTACTATTCACTGCATACCACACGTCTAAACTCCAAACGTACACAAACTGCTTATCTGATAGTCAGTTTTTGCTGTGCCCACTAATGAGCAAACTGATCTTTAAAAAAATAAGACACTAGGTAAATAATAAGTGACTAAAAAATAGTAAATATCCTACATCATCCATTTCAAGGATACCCAAGACCATATCAATTTCCCTAACCACAGACCATAGAGTGCCTTACCTGTCAAGGACCCATACTCTTTTTCTCTGAGTGTGTACTTCTCTGATTCTGCTTAATAAATCCTCCTACACCTCTCAGGGATGTGTCCTGAAATGTTTTTGTGTGACAATGTGTTAAGAAGCTGCTTGGAGCCTGACATGGCAGCATGACCCAGGGAGAAAGTAAAGAATGAGGTCAGCGATCTCAGGACAAGAGGGCCCCACTGCAGGTCCGGCAGAGACAGGGAACCCATCAAGGATGATGGGAAAGGACCACTCTTGGAGACCAAGGAAACCCAGGGGAGTACACTGTCCAGAGGAGTCCCAGAACTTTGTGAGGCCAAAGCAGGAAGAATGCAAGCTGAAATCCTGCCATTGGCAACTTAGTAAGATTCTGTCTCAAAATAAAAATTAAAATTAAAATTAAAAAGGGGCTGAGGTGGTAACTTAGAGCAGAGGCTTTGGGTTCAACTTCCAGAACCATGCACAAAAAGAACCTGCCCAGGGTGAGTTTAAGTCCCTGTCACCTCCTTAGGGGACAGAAGCATAGCACTACAGTGAGACAGACCCGGGTTCGTATCTGGTCTTCAAACTTTCCTAATTGCATGGCCTATGAGAAGTTTCATTTTTCCAACCTGTATGTTGGGAATAATTATAATAACTCATGAGATTGTTGTAATAATGAAACAGGATAATATAGAAAAATACTTGGCATAGGGGCTGGGGATTTAGCTCAGTGACTTAAGTGCCTGCCTGGCAAGCTCAAGGTTGTGAGTTCAATCCCCGGTACCCAAAAAAAAAAAAAAAAAAAAAAAAAAACTTGGCACCAGAACCTGGAAAAAAGTAAATACTAAAACAAAGACTCCAACTGCATTGCTATCAATACCTCATCACCATCATCATCATTTAAATATGACTTGACAACACTGCCATAATAAACAGTGAGATTCTTTTATGTCTTGCTGATAATACTCTTCAGTGCATGCCTATAGGGTGATGCCAAAGCAGAAACTACACAGAGCATTTGTACAAGGTGATAAAATAGTACAAACTAGAGCTAAAGGTGTCTGGTAATTTAATTTGGTCCAAAGTCATTGTATACACATCTAAAGAAATGCAGGATTTTTATGCCCTTGTGTTTTCTGGCAAACCAGACTTGAGTCCTGTGTGCTAGACACTTTGTACTGGACCTCTGAGACCCACAATGAGCACATCAGCCCACTCAAGTCCTCAGGTGTCACAGAACATGGGCTTTCTCTGTTACAATGCCAGGCTTTTCTGTTTTGGAGGTGGTCAATATCCAGGACTTAGGCATCACCACCTCCACCCTTGAGAGGGAAAAAAAAAAAAAGATCCATGACCTCAACCTCCTTGGGCACTGTTACCCGTTAAACACCTTCTTCAAAAAAGGCACAGTGAAGTCCTAAACCTCAGTATGTCAGAATAGAACCTTCCATGGAAACAGGGGCATTGGAAGGGTTAGTAATTACAATGAGGTCATCCTGGAATAGAGTAGACCCCTAAACCAACAGGCGAAGACATCCCTAATCGAGGTCTATGTGAAGACAGAGATATTACTGTGACAGAAGATAACACGATATACTATAGTAGCCATTGTTAATTTCCTATTACCCTGCTTCAAAGTTCTGTACCAATTTTACTGCTTTGTTTTGATTGGCTTTATTTTGTTTTATTAGGTTTTACTATCTTTAAAATAAAAAAATAAAAGACAGAGGTACACAAAGCAAATGCTGTAAGTCAGCAAAGGCCGAGACTGAAGTTATATGGTAGCAAGCAAAGACTGCCTACGATCGAAAGTCTCAAGAGATCCTGGGCCATGCTGACAACTTAATGTTGGAGTTTTAACTCTGAGAACTGTGATGCAATACATTTCTATTCTTTTCAGCCACTATGTTTCAGGGTGCTTGGTTACAGCCGCTGTAGGAATCTAATATAGGTAACTTACCTCTTTTCTTCTAATATTTTTCAACAAATTGGTGAATTGCTGTCAAAATTCCAAAATAGCTTAACCTAGGTTTTTTTTTTTTTTTTTTTTTTTGGAATTGGGGGCACAGTTGCTGGGGATCAAACCTAGGTCCTTGTATGAGCTAAGCAAACATACCATTGAGCTACACCCTCAGCCATAAAACTCCTTTCTGAGTAAAACATTTCAAAGGAATCTTTTGGAACTCGAGTGCTGAAATTTTTTGGATGGTATTCAAACATTACACTGAACTTCATAGCACACTGGATTGCTCAGAGATACTATTAGGAGATTAAAATTAATACATAACAAGATGAACCGATAGAGAGATGTGGTTCAGCATTACAAATGCCTTATTCTTCCTGGAAAAAGTTCAAGACATTTGTTCTTCGTTAGCCCTGTAAATATCTGTACTGATTAAATTTTAGGGCACGATGTACCATTACCTGATTAGGGAAGAGAGGGGTTCCACCCAGCCCTGGGAGGTTCACTGTGGTGTCAGGCAAAGCAAACAGAGAGCATGTAGGAAAGAATAACAAAAGTGAATGACTAGAAATAGGTAACGTATCACAATCAATGAGATTGTGGGAAGATGAGAAGCATCAGAAAGGTTAGATTGTAATACAATGGAATATTAATTAGCACTGAAAAGGAATGGAGGAGCAAACCCCACTTTCATACAACAACATGGATGAACTGCAGCAAATACAATGCTCAGAGGAAGAAGTCAGACACAAAAGGGTCCACATTTTTCATTCAACTTACACAATGTTTTTAGGACAGGCAAAGCTAATCTACAGAGATAACAAGCAAAACAGTGGTGGTGTTTCAGAGCTGGAGTTTTCCGGGCTGGAAAACAGAGTACAGAATGGCCTGGAAAGAGCACGAGGAAGCTTCCTGCAGTAATAAAATGTCCCATTTTGATGGAGGAGTTGATTGCATGTGTATGATCACCTGTCAGAACTCTACTTACAACCTCACAGGCTGTGCATTTCACTATGTGCAATTACACCTCCATAAAACAATTTTAAAATACTTGAATACAATGACTTTTAAACCATATGGTCACTGTTGCCAGGAGCAGTGGTATAACTCTGCAATCCTAGATATTACGGAAGCTAGGCAGGAAGACAGAAAGTTCGAGACCAGAATGGGCAATTTATTGAGACCTTATCTCAAAATAAAATTTTTAAAAGGGCTGGGTGTATAACTTAGTGCTAAAGTTGTTGCTTAGCATGTGCAAGGCCCGGGGTTCAATCCTGAGTAACTCAAAAACAAACAAAATATGGACACTCGAGAGAATTTGGAAAAGTTAAAATAATCTTAAAAATTAAAGTACTTCAAGTAAATAACTTTAATATACTAATTTTAATATGCTCTAAAATACACTATAATATTAGAGCAAATAATTTTAACATTATATAAAATGTTTCACAAACATAAATCAGCATAGATTAAAGTTAAAAAATTCTGTGTTTTTTTTTTTGGCAGTACAAGGGACTGAACACAGGGCCTTACACATGCTAGGCAAGTGCTTCATTACTGAGCCATAGCTCAGACCTTTTTCTCTTTAAATTTTGAGGCAGGGTTTTGCTAAATTGCCCAGGTTGGGCTTGCACTTGTGATCCTCCTGCCTTAGCTTTTAGGGTAGCTGGGATTATGGGTGTGTACCACCTGGCTAATATGTAACTTTTATATCTACTTCATTTATCATTTTATTCTGAGATTTTTTCTATAGTAACTGTGGAGTGCAGAATACATAAATTTGATTTATGCTTTTATTACTGTTATTAAACATTTTCTGTGTGAGTAGGGTCTAAAATAAAATGACAGAAAATAGTTGACAACGTTAATATTGTACTATATCACATAATTTGCTTTTCTTTAAAGGCGTCTTAAATACTAGGCATGGTGGCACATGCCTACAATCCCAGCACTGAGGCAGGAGGATCGTTGTGAGTTTGAGACCAGCTTGGGCTATAAAATGAGTTCAAGGCCAGCCTGAACTGCATAGTGAGACCCTATCTAAAAAAGGTAAGAATAAATAAATTAAAATAAAAGCATCTTTTTTCTATCCAGTAAAATGACAGTTGTCATGGAAAAACAGGCTCTGGGAGGAAAGAGGAGAGCAACTGAGGTGATTCTGTAGAGCACACTCACAGATCACTTGGCTACAATCTTCACATGCAGAAGACAGAAAGTACCCTACTCATTTTGAGCCCCCAGAGCCTACTGCCATATCTATACAAAGCAGGGCATTTTTGTATGAAATGGTTATGAATTTCAAGTTAAAGCATAATAGACTTGAGATCAGATATGTATAAGTCTTTGACTATCAGGAATCAGAAAGAAAATTCTAAAATCTCCAATGCATTTTCAAGAGTATTTGCTGTGTGTGCAGAACAGTTTATACATCCACTTCCTAAAGGAAAGCATCTAGGGCTGGTGGGATCTCTAGATCTCTCCAGGTGTAAGGTTCTACTTCTATTGTTTCTTCCCAGAAGACCAAGGATGCAAACTGTCTGTGTATTCAGAACCTTTTTTGCATGGGTAGAGAGCAGATGGCCAGCCTTCGGCTGAAACATGTTTGAAGCTAAGGGGCTTAGCTTCCAGCTCAGTGTTGAACTTTATAAACTTTCGAAGGGATCCAATTCCATGCCTGTCGAGTAGATCAGATAACCAAGGCCTGAGGAGCTGACCCCAGTGGAAAGCAGGAAGAGGAAGAGAGGCAGATGGTGAGCATCATCATTACTAAGAAACACCCTGCCCAGGAGCCAGAAGTGATGAGGTATAAACATGGACAGTAGTCGTCTCCAGGGGGCCCTTTTTATTTGTCTAAGTGCTCTAAAATGAACAGAGTATTACAGATAGAAAACTATAACTTGTTTCTGTCTTCTCACGATGTTAAGAGCATTCACAAGATTATGTCTTTGAATTTTCAGAGTCAAATCGCGCAATACTCCTGAAAGAAATTTAAACGATGCTCAAAATAATGGAAGAAGAAACAGCCTTTTCCTGTCCTTCTCTCACCCTTCTAATTGAGCAATTGCTTTGAAGTCCACACTCCCTGAGTACACATCCTGTACCTGTCTGTAGCTGGCACCAGCTGGGTGAGGCACTCCACTATGGTACTTACCATGGCCATGTTTCTGGGTCAAGATCCAGCAGAAATTCCTCTGTGAAAAAAAAAAAAGCAGAGGGTAACTTACTGAGATAAAGGAAGCACTATGAAAAGCACTAGGCAGGACATCTTATCATTTGCATGAGATTAAGCCACATAACTTCATCAAAGCTCAGCTATCCATCCATTAGCCAAAGATACCAGAGCCAGATTAATCATTAAATAAAAAACTCTGCTACAACAGTTGTGTTTATTATGCCAACAAACTAGTTCCTACTTGCTCTTCTGTTTGGTGATACATACTACAGGAATGATTCCTGTTTTGTTAGGGTGAAACACCATTACTGGAAATCAAACTAGACAAAGATTCTGAACTGTATGCTTTGGTGGACTGGAAAAAGTGTCCCCTTGGAGAGAAGAGATAATCCGTCAGCATCAGGGAAAAGTACAGCACCCTAGGCTATAAATTCTGTATGTGTGTGTGTGTTTGTGTGTGTGTGTGCGTGCACACGCGCGTGTGTGCTAGCAGGCCGGCAGCATAGCCAACGTTAGAATTTGTTCATTTCACAAAAGCCATTTTCACTGCCTTCAACTCAGATTAAAGATGCTTCTTCCCTTTATTGTAGTTTCACTCATTCAAATCTGTCCCTCTTTCATCAAAAAGACTTGAATCGGGGCTGGGGATTTAGCTCAGCGGTATAAGCGCCTGCCTTGCAAGCAGGCAGTCGTGAGTTTGATCCCCAGGACAGATAAAAAGGAAAAAGACCAAAAAAAAAAAAAAAAAAAAAAGACTTGAATCTTAACACATTGTTTTTAGTTATTCAGAATGCAAGAAGCATCTTCACCATAGTCTAGGACTGTTTTGGGGGGTTCTCATGCTATATGGGCAGGCCCCCGATGGGTTGGTTTACTGCCTCCTTCTCCCATACCTAAGCCATGTGGACAAGGTAACTTTTCTAAGCATTTAGTGAGATTGTTGACACCAAGTTTTCCTAGCACAGAAATTTGGGCATCTTGGGAACTTGTTAAAACTGTAGAATCTCACAGACCCACCTTCAGATCTCCTGCCCAAATCCTCACTTTAATAAGATTCCCCAAACATTTGTCTACACAGTAGCCTGAAGAACACTGGCCTGGACAACCCCATCAAGCAGTACCTTTCAACAACTAAGTCCCTCTCCGTTCAACTCATTACCACTTCAGTCCTTTTGGATCTGTTCCCTTCTTATCCTGTAGCTTTCTCTGGCACAGCTCCTTTCTTCCTGGTCTCCCCACACTCATGCAGAGTGGCCTTGAATTACAAGGTAGTTCAGCCCTTTGCTAGGGGAAAAGCCAACTGGTTCTAGGGCACTGCCTGAGCAAAGATCAGAGGTGTGAATGCGTACGGGGGAGGTTAGGCCTAAGAAGGAGATGAGGCTATGGGAGCAGAGGGCTCAACGCCAACAAGGCACACAGATACAGCTGCAAAAGCGTGGGAACTGACTGGGAGGGGCTTTAGGCACCCAAAGAATTTAGCTTTACAATGTAGGAACTGGGAAAGCAGCAGTGAGCTTTTTACTTGCGGAGAAATGGCATAATGAAAGATGTTTTAGCAAGGTGCCACACTATACAGAAGACTGGGGTGAGCAAGACCCCAGGAACAAGAGTCAGGAAGGCTTAAGAGACTAAAGCCAGACAGAGGGGAAGCTCTGAGAGGGAGGGGTGGGACTGAGGGTATGACACATACGGATTTTAGGGAGCAAGGCTTTATTAGATGTAGTGACTCAAGAACTATAGAAGTATTCATTCAACCACCAGAAATTTATAAAGCACCTTTATATCCAGGTACTATTCTAGTTGGCAGACAGAATGCAATGAGGAAGACAAAGCACCTCCTTTATGGAGCTCACAATCAAGCAACAGAGAAAGACAAAAAAAAAATAAATAAATAAACACATATTTGCTAATGGCATAGAGCAGGTATCCACAGGTATCCAGACTACAGTAGCTCATGGGTGCCGCTTTCGTAGCCTATAATAGTTTTCACATTTTCAAACAGTTGACAAAAACACATCATAAGACTATTTCATGGTAAGTAGAAATTATGTGAAATTGAAATTGTAGTATTTCTACATATGTTTTAAAGCTGCACTCTACATTTTGGTTGGCTTAAAGATTTCTCCATGTATATGGTGAACTGTAACCTAATTTGATGTTCAAATGGACTGTAACGTACCCTTGTAACAAGTAGCTGAGTTTCCGCCAATCACAAGTGGGCAGTTGTTCAAACCATCTTCAAATAATACAGATGAGAGCTGTAACCAATCAGACTGTCACTGCGTTTCACTTCCATTTTCTATATATCACTTTCTCTGGTCTTAAATAAAACCTGGCCAATTTATCAACTAGTGATTTCTTACTGTTTATAGTTTTGTTTTGTCTTTTTCCTTTTTATCGATACTGGGGATCGAACTCACGACTCCCTGCTTCCAAGGCAGGCGCTTATGCCGCTGAGCTAAACCTCCAGCCCCTACTGTTTATTGTTTTTGAAATCCTGTATTATTTCTACCCTTTTTTCTGTTTTGCTTTTTTTCCTCTTTAAATAAAATTTAAAACAAAAACAAAAACCTGGCCATGGTGCAGACCCAGGCATTCTGAACTGTCTCTGATCCAGGCTGTAGCCTGATCAGCAAAACTAGATTTATTGGAATGTTGTCTTTTAAGAGTTTCCATACATACAGATTTACTGACACACAGCCATACACACTTATCTATGTATTATTGGGGCTGCTTTCGTGCTGCAAAGCAGATAAGAATAACTTTGACAGACTATAGGGACCGCAAAGGTATCCTGCCCTTCACAGGAGATGTTTGTGACCCCTGGTACGGAGGATGACAAGATTAGGTTACCAGGCGGGAGTGGGGCTGGACAGAGTGATTTGAAACCTTCTCTGAAGAGCTAACACCTGGACTGAATGAAGTCCTGAGGGGCCAGTCATTCAAAGTTCTGAAGGAGAACTCTTTTAGGTAGAAGAAGCACTTAGTGCAAAGGGCCTGACACAGAAATAAGTTTACTGTGCTTAAAATCTTAAAGGAAAAATGAAAGCCTCCTGAACAGGGGCTGGAGTGACAGGAGATGAAGAAGGATTATGGCCCTGTGATACTGTGACTTATAATACACATTTGTTCTTTATTCTGCAGCTGGCATAGAACTCCCAAAACTCTTAGAAATTCCTGAAATGGTAAGAGCATTAAAGGTGCCAGGAGCATTTTTCTTGTTCAAAACATCTGATTTTGTGTCAATGAGGTGACTTTTGGAAATCTCTTGCATTGCTACAAAATTGCAGACTCATTACCAAGGGAACCAACTATGTGATTAAGAGGGCTGGAATTTTTAGCTCCATCTCATCCCCACCTCAGGTGGAGAAGAGCACTGGAGGTTGACCTATTTTAAATCATCAATGGCTAAGATCTAATCAGTCATAGTAATGCACCTTTAAGAACCCAGAAGGAGCAAAGAGAATGTAAGCTCGATGTCCCCTCTTGGAGACCTTGTCCTATGCATCTCTTCTGTCTTGCTGAGTGGTACCTTTATATGATAAACCAATACTCCAGTAGATAAACTGCTTCCTTGTCTTCTGTGAGCTAACCTAGCAAATAATTAAACACAACACACAGGGTTGTGGAACCTCTGCTTTGGGGCTAGTCAGTCAGAAATATAACCCAGATTTGAGGCTGGCCTCTGAGGGGGAAGAAGGACTGGGCCTTCAACCTATGAAGTATGACAGTAACTCCACATAGACAGTGTCAGAATTGAGTTGTCCACAGAGAACTGAAGAAATGCTTGCGGTGGGAATTCCCTGTCCGCCACCCTCTGGTCACTGGAGCTCCGATCACAATACCCTGGGGTATGGGGATTTGGTTTTGAACCAGAGAATGGAAGGCCTCTGGTTCAGAACCAAGGTTTCCCTAACCTTCTGCTCTTTTACCTGTTACCTTTCTTGGTTTCTCCCAAAGTCAGTCAGAGAAACCAGCATTCCTCTTTGTTAGGGCAGGTCATGAAAACGGGAAAACTCTCTCCCCTCCAAAACAAGCCATAAGGCTCACAATTTGCTCTAACTGTCCCCCACTTCCCTGTGTAGGAACTGGCCATAAAGAAAACCTTTGACCTGTGTTGTATGATAGTAGATCACAAGACACTCACTCCAGAGGGGTCCTATCTTGTACCCAGGAGAAAAGAATGCTACACAGAGTCCGAGGAGAATCTGAGCAGAAGTCTTGCTGGATCCTCTCCCTCAGTTTTTTATCATTAAGTCAAATTCTTTTGTCCAATTGCATTTCTATATGGCTGTCCCTTTTTCATCAAAGCTAAGTATAAAACCAGCATTTTCTTGGGGAAGTCTTCCTTTCTGCAGGCCTCTGTGTCATGCAGAACTTTGAGTCAGTGAAAATCGCTATGCTTTTCTTTTTTGTTATAGGAGTAATGGCTGTGAACTTTATATCATACCTCCAGACAGTGCCCAAATGAAGCTTTAAGTGTTTTCTCTCTGTGTTCAGAGGGGGCTGGTTCCAGGACCCAAATAACCAAAATCCCGGAATGTTATGTCCTCATACAAAATGTATAGTATTTGCCTACAATCTATACACATCCTCCCATGTACTTTAAATTACCTGTTATTACTTAAAATACCTAACGTAATGTAAATGTTACGTACATATTATTATACTATATTGCTTAGAGACTAATGACAAGGAAAAAAACCTCATACAATTCAACACACACCCAGAATTTGTTAAAAACATGTTTTCAATCTGCAGTTAGTTGAATCCAGGGATGTAAACCTGTGGATATGGAAGGCCCACTACACAGAGACACACAGTTCATTTGCCCACACAGTTGGTGCCATGGGTTCACCGAAACATGATTTGGGAAGGGAAAGATGACAGGAGGGGAGATGAGAAAGATTTGATTACGGGACAGACATGTGGAAGAGCACAATGCCAGGATTAGCTACTAAAGGTAAAAGTTACTGCCGGAATTTAGAAACTAACCCAATGTGTGAGAAGTTACTTCAC